CTTGCAACTCTAATCTTATCTTGGGTATAAACATAACCAAATAGAACACATGAAGTTTCATGCGATCCTTCTGAAACTTGTACAGGAAATTGTTTACCGGAAATGATAATCTTCTGAAGTGCATAGAAGACACGCAGATACTAAAATTTATTTAGGCTATCATTATTATTTATATATACTATATATATATATATTATTATATATACTTTTTTATACTATTATAAAGCAATTTGATTGAATTCAATAAGTTCTTACGTTTTGCAACTTTCTTTATAGTTCTATACATATGCCTTATCTAGAAAAATTTAGACTTCTCTCCATCTTGTAATATATAAAGACTGCAATGCACTTTGTTAAAAAATATATCGTATATATACATGTATCATACATGTATAAACAAAAGATGAAACGATGTTAATAACAGATAAACATCTATAGGTACGACCTTTTTTATATGTTGTTAATATTATTATTGCAATATTTCACATAACATTCAATAAATAAATTTGATCTCATCTTACTTCTCTCTGTGTTGTGTCGTCATAATATTGTTGTTATCCATTCGCAGTAATGTTGCTTTTGGTTTGGTAATATCCTAAAATACAAGAAATACGGATATTTATGTTGATTTATGTTATTATACCTAATAATGACACGATTCACTTAAATTTGATAAGTTCTCACGCTTTTCACATCATCCATTTTATCAAGCCTTTCCGCATGTTTTTTATTTCTGCAAAACGAACATTATTATTATTATATTTTACGTAAAATAAGTTTTTAATAGACAACTGTAATCTTGCCTTACCGTCCCTTCTGTTTCGTTATAATTTTCTCCCAAGTTTTATAATTGGCCAACTAAACGTGAAAGATAAAACAGATCCATATAAATTTATTTCAAACGGTATAAACATATAATCGGTAAAGAAATATGACTTAATTCCATGACGCTTTTTCGTCCTCGTTAATAAAATAATAAAGCTTTGAAAAAATGGAATTTGCACCACATTCGTGTAAATTTGCTTACATCCTTCCTAGTAGCGATCTTCTCACTCATTTTTATATATTTATCTAGATTCTTCGATATGTATTTGTTTTGAAGTTCTCCATTTTTTCCGGTGATTTCGATTTCTATAATTCTATATGGAACACGTGCACAATTTTCCGTGAAGCAAATTTGGTCAATCATATTCTAAATTGAAAAATATCATACATTATACACACACACACACACACACACACACACACATACACGTGCACATATACGCGTATATTGTTAACTGATTCAATACCAGATTTACATAAAATGAAACTTTGCTAAAATTAATTACCTTGTCATCTACCTCATCATAACGTTTCTTCTGGTATTCCCAACAAATCGAATGACACTGTAATATGCACGGCATCTGATTGCTGCAGATTGATGTAACCATGCCTTCAAAAGTCGGATCACTGAAAAGCACATTTTGTCTTTACAGAAAGCTTAAATCATTTCACTCGGTGATGTCTCGCGGCTCGCTGTATGTTTATCATCTTTATTGTTAGACTTATTAATCACATTTAAAAAAATGCTAGATTCAAATAAATAATTATTTCAGCATTCCTTAGTAGATTTTTACTTAGATGAAGTAATATTTACTTGATCCAGGTAAAATATTTTCCAAGAAAATATTATCCAAGTAAAATATTTGTTTGGTCCAAGTAGAACTTACTTAATAAAAATAAAAATTTGCTAATGTATATTGGAATCATTATTTACTTAAATCACTTTTTTCTGTGTAGATATATTGTCTTAATATCAATATATTACCCAAAGTATATCCCTCTATTTTCTGTCTTCAACTGTGACACATTGAAGATCTTTGTCGACGACATGACATGTTTGCATTTTGAACCCAGGAAACAACTCGCATCAGGTGTTTTGAGGCGCGAGCATTCGTACAAGAGAGTGTTAAGTTTGATCTGATCGGAGAAATTGATCGGATATTAATCGAATTTAAAGCAGACTGCAGACATGATGGCCCGCATTCTGAACGCGCTTAGAACGATGTTAGTGCATTAATAAGACAAGAGATATAAGTATTTTCAGTAACGCTCGTGTTTTAAATGCAGTGATAACAATATTCTGTTAGGAGAAATCGATAATCACGCGTGTTTATAGCAGAATTCCTACTCGGAGCTATTAATAAGTCGACTTGTTCGCTAACATCGCTAATATTGTAAGCGCGTTCAGAAATACAGATCGATATTTCTACGAAGGGATCTCGCGAAACTGCCGTGATCTCGATGAGTTTGATATTCGTCTCATTGCCATGCACATTACGGATAAAATGTATTTTAACCGTGACTGATGTAGGGCACATTTCCGTATTTCGATGTAAACGCAAGCTCTTCGTTTCCGCGTTCTGCGGCATTGAGCGATCGAAACTCATCGAGATTTCGATGATTTTTACATTTTCTACGCTTGACAGTGAAAATGTATTTGGAAATGTAACAGAACGCACATTTAAACCCATTCGCGTAGTCTCGTCGATAATATTATTAGTTTGTGGTATATAATATTGCTTTATTGGTGATCGTGGAAAGCGCAATAAGGTTAAGCCATTTTCGATCTCTTGTTCCGCCAATGAAAACCTGCGACAAAGTAGCATATTATTTTGCAGCTATGCCGCAGCTATGTACGCGACCAATATTCGTGCATAATACTCCGTACTTGTACATCTTCATAAACGCTTTCGCCAAGGAATAATAAATGGCGGGAAAGGTGCCTTTGTAAGTACACTTCAAGCTATAAAGTCGCCTGAACGCCTCGAATATATCGTCGAACTCATTTGACGTTAGCAAGCAGACGCATAACATGTACTCTAACTGATCCGAATACTTCAGCGAATAAACGGAGGTATCCTAAGAAACGCATATTAAACATATTAGTTGCTGCGAACTCTCAGCTACGATTTCGGGTGACGCGAACGTACAATATTAATCACTGCAATTTATCGATTTTTGTTGAAAGCAAAGCACAATTTACCTCATTTGCATCTTGGTTTCTCAGTTTGTCCATTTGTTGTCGATATATAGTGGCTGCTTCTTTGTATTGTTTCCCAAGAAATAATACTGCTGCTTGCCTCGCAATTAAGTCCTGATAAGTACACACGTATTCGTTTATATACGATAATAAATAACAACCGGCCATATAAAAGCCATATAAAAGCCATATAAAATGACTAAACACGATTTCCTCACCTTCATTGTTATATCGTCCTTGTATAAACGCTAGAGGACAGCAGCGTAGAATAAAATAAATAATCCGCTGTTCGCGCTGGTCAGTTGTGTCAAAAGTCTGTCCACCTGGACAGAATTAGTTTCATCGTGTGTAAGTTGAAGTTATCTCGCTCAACGAGCGGAATTTCGATCGAGACGCATGTTTTAACGAAATTGAAGAGCAAGAGTTCTCGAAAATTCAATGATCAGAATAACATTTTGCCGTGTCAGATTAGCATTTCGGTAGGATAAAAATACGTTTTACCGCGGGCGATCTGAATTGCGTTTGAAAATCGACTCGGAGCCTCTGTTCGAAGACTCTCGACGGAGACGGACTGTACGAGGTATCGCCATCAGAATACCGAACACACCGTCGAGCACACGCTGCGCCGCGGTTATTCGCTCGAGTTCGAAGGCGCCGAAGAACAACGATCGATGAAAATATGAGCGGGGATCAATCGTCGATCAAATCGGGACGAAAGCTATCTCTGCAAACGTATCCCGGCGTTTCTCTCATTATTCATACAAAAATATTGACATTTGCGCTTTACGTCATGCGTTTGCGGCGTTTAATTATCACTTACGTGCGGGAAAAAACCCTCCTCGGTGGCAAGATAAATAAAGAAAGAAAAACAACGTGAGGAACGGAAGAATAGGGAAAGAGGGAAGTAAATACGAGGAATATGAGCAGGCGAAGAGAAGAGAGAGGCGCAAGGGGATAATTCAGCGGACTACGAATATGAATGAGCGTAAAAATGTGCATAAAGAACGATTGCGATTCGATCAATTAGCGTCGGATGTCCAGCGCGCGACGGCCGCGACCGCTTAACGAAAGCGCGGCGTACGGGAGCTTAACGGAAATATAACACAGGACTCTATTAATAACCGGCGGTCTACGTCTTCAGCATGGTGTTTACACAGCGTGCGTACGCACAGAGCTTGTCAAAGAGAGTACACAGTTTATTATTTAGTAATGACGAAAGAGGACGCGTTGCCGCCGATCATTAGGCTCCAGGTAAAAGCGTGACCGGCCAATTAACAACCGTCGCCCTCGTAACACGATCCCTCCGCGCGATCCTCTCCCCCGAGATCCTCGCCGCGCGTGTGCAACGCGGCGAGACGTCCCGCAGACGGTTCTTTCGCGCGACAAGCAGCCGTTGTTGCAGCGGAATAGTCCGCAAATCGCTGTCAGCGTGGCCGACGATACTCGATCAGCTTCGAAGCGCCGCCGATCGGGAGGTCTCACGCGGACGTCCCGACGCATTTCACGCACGAGTGCGAAGGATTGATCTCGCATCGATGCGACTGGCGAGATCAATTTTCATCGATTCTCTCCCTCCTGCGAGAGGCGAACTGTTCATCGATGTGCAATTAATAAGCGTGATTAATACCGGGCGAGCGGATCAGCTGGTGCCTCGCTATCTCGACTCGCACAGACGCTCGCGCGGCGCTCGTTGGACGGCGTCCAACGAGCGAGAGCTGGTCGCTATTTTTAGCGGGATCTGTCAGAGTTCCCTCGGAAGGGAACACCGTTCGGCGCATCTCGCGTGTCTCCACGGAGAAAAATCGCCCCCGAAAGCCCGGACCGGGCTTGACTCGGGCCTGAAGTTCGACTTGGCGTCGATAACGAGCCGATGACGTTGGACGATTGGCCGCGGCACCGTGAAATCTCACGGCCGATTGGTGCGCAAGGGAATTAAGGGTACGACGAGTACGCGACGATGACGACGGCGACGGCGGCGCGCTCAAGTCGGGGGGTCGTGGCCTTGGGTGAAGTCACGCGAGTGCGAGGATGTTATCGAGAGGGGTGACCGGGCGCGTGCATGCATAAGGTCGTTCTTTCTCTTCGCGGCCGGGCTTTAAAGATTTTATCGATCGCAATGTGCAACGACGACGGGCCGTCTGTTTCTCAGAAGATGCGATTTAGGACGGTGACGCGACGTCGAGCGCGACCCTGCGGAAGCGGATAACGCTTCGGAAAAGGATGAGCAGGATGACAATGCCCGCTCCGTGCTTATCGCGCTGCACCGTCCGCATCTCGTGGAGCTTCCGTTGCGATTGAACAGATCGCTCGATTGATCGATAGATCTTCGAGAGCGATAAGGCGAGGGTAAACGCGTAAGGCGATAGGGAAACGCGCACGAACACTCGAGAGACGCAAGCCCCGAGGTCTGCGGATGACATCCTCTAAAGTCCGATTGATGTAATTGACGACTGACTGGCAGAACTGTCAATAGCAGTTTCTAATTATGTAATTTATCATCTAACAATAAGCAAAAAATTAACAATCTGTGTTAGCAGAACAGAAAGCAGTTGACGCTTGACTGACAGCGATTTTAAATATAAGGTGTAAAGAGAGAACGAACATTTTTGTCTTACTTACTTCAACGACAAACTATCTGATTTTTTACGTTGGCAACTCTGCCGACTAAGTTAATCGTCAATTAGCTTAATCAAGGTGACTTTCACGAAATTCTAATTAATAATCGACGATTTAAAATTACTATCAATCTAATATTAATTGCTCCCTATGCTGCTAAAGTAAGTAGAAGTTAACCACTTTTCGATTATTGTTGAACGACAAGTTACAAAACTGAAAATTGATCTTCGCAATTCTTATTAATCGTTGATTAGTTTAATTTGAGTTTGGTGAAAGTTACCCTCATGATGTGGAGAAAGTCCTGAAAATTCATCTGGTCACTTTGTCTCAAAATCGTACTTATTTCCATTTTTGGTTTTACATTTCTTCTCCCTCTGACTTACCCGAGTAGAAAATAAACCAAAATATAGTCAGTAATTGGAAAATAAACCAGAATATAGTCAGTTTTTATCTAGTAATACTGCTTAGGTCCTAATCAGTTTAGTTGACACTTATTTCAGTAATAACTAGACAATAAACTAGCCAATTTCTAGACAGTTGTATCAATCAGTTTTTAATCAGTTTTTAACGAATTTTTACCCAATTCTTACTTCTTTTCTATTACATTTACATTAAATTTAGAATACTTATAATTTATCTTTAACATTTGCAGCACATTTATAATAATTCATTTTCTTCCCTATCATATTTGTAGCTTCCCCTTTTTTCTCGAGAAAAGGTATTTCGAAGGGAACCATCTCGGTTCAATCTCTCGGGTACATTCGGTCAGTTTCTTTTATATCTCTCCTGAAGAGAGGCCGAAAGTGGGATAGCTTCAGGCGTGCGTGCGTTGTTTGCACGTGGCGACGCGGAATGAAGAAACACATCGCCCAGCCGGTGGCACGAGCACCCCTCCGTATAGCGAGCGGGCGCGCTGTCGTGGCGCGAGGGTGCTTTTCCGCAAGCGTTCCGTTCTTTCGAAGCTACGAGTTCATCACCTACCCCGTCGGTAATCCAGCCCCGACGGGCGAGCTTACCGCACCTTTATAGCGCCTCTATAAAACCATCCTGCGGCGCGCGCGCGAGCGAGAGGGAGAAAGAGGAAAGAGAGGGAGAGAGAGGGAAAGGGAGGGAAAGAAAGATCCGTGCGCGACGACCGAAGGGATGAGAGAGCAGGAATGGAAACGCATGGATGGAAGAGGGGCTTATTGCGTCCCACAATACGATCCTCCAAAAACGGAAGGCGGAATATCCCGCGAGTAAGGTTCGCGAACCCTCCCCTTCCGATCTTGATCAAACTTGGAGGGTGTACGCAGCAAAGGAAGGTAATGTCGATGTGGTTTGCTGGATGTGGTCTTGTCTCAATATTTCTGTATCAACACAATCCGAAGTGGCCTTAATTTGAAAACCGAAACTTTATTCGGTCAGGACATATAGTCTTAAATATTAAATACCTTAAATATTAAATAATTAGGATACCTTAAGGGCTTATATATATGCCACGCACACACACACACACACACACAAATGCCCGATCGACTTTTTGCCGAGGGAAACATGGAGGGATTCCAAGTTCGTCGAGAAACCGTTCATTAATAATTAATGCACACACAACAGCTGGCGATGGTAATCGTTACACGATGCGACAAATTAACATCGCCCGACAAATCTATCGAAAAGTCTTCTGGGATTCTACCTCCTGCAATGAAATACTCGCCCGCTTCCCTCTCCCGCCATAATTTAGTTCGGACAGAACGAAATGGCTTGAGCATAAATTACATTTAAATATACGGCATGTTAAAAGGGGCCACGTGAGAGGCGTCGTATTTTGCATGTCACACATCATGCGTCATACGCGGAACGCAATGCGTCCTGTAGCGGAACGGTCGTCCTTCGCCGAGTACCTACCGCTCTGCCAAGGTTCCAAAAAAGCGGCATCGATACCGAACAAAAAAAGATTTTTATTACTCTAAAACGACACACGCGACGAGGGAGAAAGCGGAAGAGAAAGAGGGAGAGAAAGCTTAGAGAGAGAGAGAGAGAGAGAACGAGAGAACGAGAGAAGGTGAGAGGGTGCGAGTCGCGTCGGGGGTGGAAGGGCACGCAAAGAGCCGGCGACGAGGTGCGGACAGCGCATGCCTCTCGCATGGAGAGAGAGGGTGCGAGCAACCCCCGACATGAGCAACCCCCGAGTGTGTTGTTCTTCCCTCTATGTGATCGTTGCCGCTCGATTCTGCGCGGTCGTGTGTTCGCGCAGGGCGGCTCCTACAACGTCGCCTTCGTCCACCGACGCTCTCTTCCTGGCGTTACCACCGTGCACCCTTCCGGGTGACGTGCAAATGGTGGCGTAACGCGCGTGGTCGGCGGAACGAGGTGAAAGGAGCCTCGCGTTTCGTGCGTGCGTGCGTGCGTGCGTCGCCTCGAGCCGGACAACAGTCGACGAGCAGGCCGCGCTTCCTGACGTTTTGCCGTCAGTCACGATGGTCACCGACAACACCAGCCAGGTACGTAGTTGAAGCGGCACGACAGCGGCACCTTCGAAGCCGGCACCTTCTCTCTCTCTCTCTCTCTCTCTCGTGCGTCTCCTCCGTCTCTCGCTTCTTCCACCTCTCCCTCTCGTCGTCTCGTCTCTCACTTTCTCGGAGCCGCGGACGATCGAAAAAACCGTGTAATTATCGAGCAAGTGACTCCTTAGCTAAAAGGCGACCGTAAGATTCGGCCTGGTGACTCGCAGTGCAACGATTTCGCGAGAACTTCGAGAAGGTGGCTCTCGAGGCGGCGTTCGTACGAGGGTTGCGAGAACCGGCCGGGAAGCAGGCCAGTTGACGCGTTCTCTCTCTTCGAGGTTCGACGTCGTGGATCTCGCAGAGTTCGATTTCCGAGGGAAGTAACTGCGACCCTTGCGTCGATGTGTATCTAGTAACGCCGGGCTCCTTGAAATAGCTCACCGGTTGCCACCGGTGCTCTCATTAGCGCATTAAACGGGACATCGAGAGACGGGGATGCAACGACGGCAGCCTTCGGCCGAGGAATTGTCGCCACGAACGGAAGGGAACAGGAGGGTGGGTTATACGCGCCGGGCGATGCGCCGCGAAATAACACCGGCTGGTTGGGGGCGTTCCGCGACAGCCGGCGAATGCGGCGCGTATCGATGTTGAAGGAATGCGGCGGATGACTCGAAAAAGCATAAAAGTCGTGCGCTATATCGAGGCGTGCGACGCAGAAACCGGTGAGCACGGAGCGACCGGCAAAGGTCAGGGTGACGGAGTTATAGCGGGCGCACCAATAGCGTCGGCGGACTCGCCACCTGGCCCGACGCGGTCTCTTATCGCGATGAATCACGACGGGGTGCTCGAGAAGGGTCTAGGAAACGAATCGCGGTTGCGACGAGAAACACCCCCCCCCCCCCACAAGGTTTACTTGCGCTTCCCGGGTAACGCGAGGTTTAAAGAGGCGTTTAAAGAAACGCAGTCGGTTCTGCGTCTCGGTTAACTTCAGCTCTTCCGCCCTTTTCCCCTGAATTGGCTGCGCTAACTTGAACTAGTTCTCTTCCCCCTTATTTTCCATCAAGTCTTAACTGTATACCTGTCTTTTTCTTTTTTTTTTATTCTATAAGTACAACTGTAAAGTAGTTCGGTGAAAAAGAACAGGGTTTTTGATGTTCAGCCTGATCGGAGCTTCGTGCGTTAATTGCGCCGTAGGAGAAAGGACAGAATCTCACGCACAAACTGGGTTACTTATATGTCAGTTCTATATAAATAACCGTATTGCGCCTTTCCCGTTTTATATATCCCGTTCTACCGCCGCCCTGTTTTTGCTTTTCTACTTTTCGTGTTTGTTCTTCGCGTAACCGTTTAATTACTTTATTCCCGCAGTCGTGTATTAATTGAATAACACGTATGCACTTAGGCTGATGACACGACAGCATTTCTCCGCGCTGCTCGGTCCGGCAACCTCGAGAAAGTGGTCGAATTTCTCGACACCGACTTAGATATTAACACAGCCAACTCGGTAAGCATCGAAATGCAAATGCGACATGAATTCGTTAATTACTATCAGACACAACTCGATCTTTGTGTTACTTCATTCACGACCGAACTTAGTAGTGTTCAATTAATATCGCTCGAAAGGATGCTTGCCCTATCTTGAACTTCTATTGCAATTTTACCTAATCGGTCGTGCGTGTCGTTGCAGAACGGTTTAAATGCCTTGCATTTAGCCTCGAAGGATGGCCACGTCGAGATAGTAACTGAGCTCTTGAAGAGGGGCGCAAAAGTGGATGCGGCGACGAAGAAAGGAAACACCGCGTTACATATAGCTTCGTTAGGTGAGAAAGGACGACCCTCGTCGCGTTGAAAAATCGCGCACGGCCACTTTGACGCCGCAACTTGACGATCGTCCTAAATTGTTTCTTCAGAAATAAATACAATACTGGGGGTCTCGAAAGTCGCAATGGCTCTCAAACTTGTTGAAAAGAGAGAATTATGTGTGTGAAACTCAGAAATTATAATATATACTTATAAATTGTAAAATTTAATTGAGCTCAAATTAAGAAGCCTACTTTTGGAAAATCAGAAATTATGCTCTGATCATTTTTTTTTTTTTCTAATTTATTGTACCAAATCTCCCGCGAATTACTTATTATAGCAAATCGTTCTGTGTTTTCAGCCGGCCAGTCCGAAATAGTCAATATCCTAATTCAATACGGCGCCGCGGTTAACATCCAGTCGCAAAATGGATTTACGCCTTTGTATATGGCCGCGCAGGAGAACCACGACCAAGTGGTCAAGCTCCTGCTCAGCAATGGAGCCAATCAGAGCCTCGCGACGGAGGTAAAGTCGATCTCTAATTTCGTTCTCAGTTCGCAAAGAGATGCTCTTTGCTTACATTCGACTAATCAGATTTCGCTAAATGCATCTTCTTTCAATTATGGGACGATTATGGTCTTTGAAATGCTCTGATATTTAATTGGAGCACGCGATTAAAACCGCTTCGGTGGTGTTCCTCAGGATGGATTTACACCACTCGCGGTGGCGATGCAGCAAGGCCACGACAAGGTGGTCAGCGTCCTCCTGGAGAACGACTCGAAGGGCAAGGTCAGACTACCGGCTCTTCACATCGCCGCTAAAAAAGACGATTGCAAGGCCGCTGACCTGCTCTTGCAGGTAAACCTTCGTGTATTCGTTATCACGTCCATTGAAAATTAATCGAATCGAGGGAAGGAATGCGGGTGAATGGAGGTATCGCGATTTACGTCATAACAATTGGATGTTTTAGAACGACCATAAGCCCGACGTGACATCGAAGAGCGGCTTCACTCCTCTTCATATCGCCGCTCATTATGGAAACGAGGAAATAGCGCGATTATTAATAAAACGAGGGGCCGATGTAAATTATTTAGCTAAGGTTAGTACACCTCAACGATCTCTACGACCGAAGGGGACGGAGTCTGAAAATGAAATAAGTTCCAAATTTTCCTAAATAACAGAATGTTTTATAAAGTACGGAATTATTAATTATGTTTCCTAAATATTATGTTACCACTTTTACACTTTGGTATAATTCGAGTATATTTTAAATTATGAGAATTAATCATAGAATATATATATATATATATATATATAATGCTTTTAGAAGAAAAGAACAAACGCAATTAGAATTCTATGAGGTATAAATTTGGTATTGCTGAATTTCATGACACGATGTATCTTTTTCAGCACAATATCAGTCCGCTGCACGTGGCAGCTAAGTGGGGCAAGAATAACATGGTGAAGATACTCTTGGAAAACTCGGCGCAGATCGACGCTAAGACCAGAGACGGCTTAACACCGCTCCACTGCGCGGCACGATCAGGTCATGAACAGGTGGTCAGCACGCTTCTTGAAAATTCGGCGCCGATTAGCGCGCGCACAAAGGTAATTATCACTATGCGTTCTGTTAAAAAAATCCGACTATTTTTCTATTTATGAAATTAATAGATCTCAAATAAACCTTTCCTAGCAAAGGTTTCACTTCTTTATGTTCCTAAAATCGTATTCTCCTTTCTTCAACCTTCGACATTTTGATAAGTAGGTAACGAGCGGAAATTCTATTGGGATAAAAATTTGTAAGGCAAATTCTATTATACCTTTGTGTGCGATTTTTTAAACCTAATCTTGACGCGTTACATGCTTCCTGAGTCGAAATTTTTAGTTCTACATTGATTGATCCTATGAACTCAAGTTGAACTTGAAGGACCAACGAGGAATCTCGAAATATAATGCTGTATCAGTTGCCTTTTGACGCTATTTGTAGCAGTAAATAGCTAATTGCTGTCATTTTTCCATGTTAAGGCTTAAAAAGGAACCTTGTTAGTATCCTTTAAAATGACTCCAGATGCTATGCTATGCATTAGATCCATAAATCAGCATTCTTCAGACTTACGATCTAAATCCTAAACTTCGACTTAGGTATTTCCTTATTATCGCTGATTTCTTCATATGCTCAGTATAATAAATGATTTGACGCGCCAAGAAATATGTGATGTATCGCTGCCCGCGTCCCAATGTCCTGCGTTCTCTGTCTTGGCTTCTGAGTCCATTCCTTTCCTCCCGATTTCTTCGAATACTCCATTATAACGTTAACATATAGTACAGTACATACATAACATACAGTATTCACGTAAATATGATTCGATCGGAGAAACACGTATTAATTAATGTCAACGATAAAATATTTCAAGAGTGGATAAGAATGACAACTACATTGATATACCTGCTCCGTATAGCAGTATGTGCGTCGTCTGTTGGATCGAAACGTAATAACTCGGGCACGGAAAAGTATGAGACGCATGACAGTATTAAAATAATAGGTAAAAATAGCATACCTCGCCAGACGTCAACCATAGCCGGCTTCCAATCAATGACATGTACGTAATCTCGGTGGCTGATGGATTAAAGCTGGTCAACGTTTTCAAAACCATGCCAAATCTTAAGACGGTTGAAATTATCAAGACCGAGTAAAAATATAAAATTTACTTTAAGTTTCGCAATTGCTGGATTTATGCCTCTGATTAATGTGCTCCGTCATATAATTATTTCATAATTTTTATTAGTACTCAAGTAAACTATACAATTAACATATCGCCTATTAAAACCAAGTAAAAGCTCAATGCAAATAGAATATCAAATTCTTGCATTTATAGCATCATAGGGTATAATAAAAGCCTGCATTGTGCTGTACATCCAAATTCGCCATTAGTCCTTCAAGTTTGACGGAACGCGTAAGTTAATATAGAGATCAAATTCCGAGTCAGCTATACTTCAAAGAGAACATGCCGACCCTGACTTCGCGACTTGAACGGAAATCATTTCTTCCGCAGAATGGGCTCGCGCCATTGCACATGGCCTCTCAGGGAGATCACGTGGACGCTGCGAGAGTGCTGCTGTACCATCGAGCGCCGGTGGACGAAGTGACCATCGACTATCTGACCTCGTTGCACGTAGCGGCGCATTGCGGCCACGTCAGGGTGGCCAAGCTGCTGCTCGACCGAAAAGCCGACCCGAACGCACGAGCGCTGAACGGCTTCACGCCACTGCACATCGCGTGCAAGAAGAATCGCATCAAGGTGGTGGAGCTCCTGCTGAAGCACGGCGCGTCCATCGAGTCTACCACCGAGGTAATTCGGGCGCAACAACCATCTCGTCGTCGTTCGCACTGTCTCAAGCATCTCTCGCAATCGGATCATGTTTTCTCATAAATGTCTCCTCTCGCAACTCGTCAATCACGAATGTTCTCACGCAGTGTTAGATACCGTACGATACGGAACATTACGAAAGCCACGCGTGAAACGGTCGCACAGAGAACGAGAAAAAAACAAATAGAAAGCAAGAGAACGATCGTACGTTCGTCGGGGCGCGGTCGAGAGATCGCATTGTGAAACGTGTCGCACACGGTGATAAACACGGCAATTAACGCAGCCGGACGCGTATATCAATTAACATCCCATGTCCGTGCCTTCTGTGCGCCCCAATGCGAATGAATGGCAAAAAAAGAAAAAGAAAGAAAAAGAAAATATACGACCGGGTGATATCAAAGTTAGCAGATCTCTTGGAAGACTGGTTAAAGGGTCGTGCATTACCAACCAAACTGACGGGACTGACCGGATTAGTCGAGTCGCTGTGCGATTCTCGTTGATTCTGCTCATTCTTCTGATAATTTCCTTCAGTAGTAGTCTCTCTCTCTCTCTCTCTTTCTCTCTCTCTCTCGCCCGAGACGCCGGCTTATCGTCGTGGACGACAACGGACAGGTTGAACCGAATTAAACACGACCGCCGAAATCCATCGCCGGATTCGGCGATCACGAGATATATTAATGGATGAATACGTGTGGTGTGTTTTGCAGTCCGGACTGACTCCGTTACACGTGGCCAGTTTTATGGGGTGCATGAATATCGTGATATTCCTACTGCAGCATGAAGCCAATCCTGACGTGCCGACCGTCAGGGGCGAAACACCCCTGCATCTGGCGGCTAGGGCTAATCAAACAGACATTATTCGAATTTTGCTAAGAAACGGTGCCAAAGTCGATGCTCGTGCAAGGGTAAGTAATGCGTGTCGCCTTCTGAACCGACTCGACCCTTCTCTCTCTCTCTCTCTCTTTCTTTCTCGCGTTTTTCCTCTCTTTTTCTCCTTCCTTCCCTTCTCTCCCTTCTATCCGATCGCTTTCTCGTCTCCCCTCAGCCGCTGTGATTATTGCTTGCTCAATTACGACGGCGAGAACCACCCACTATACCCATATACCCTCGAGGGCGAATATTCAGAGGATCTTAGAGGGTCATGTACATACAAACGATCACTTTCATACGCACCCCTCTACAAAAGCATGAGCCATTAACCAGTCTCATATACCGACATTCAACTTAACGTCAAGTTACCAGAGATTTTCGGATCAAACGTAACGTGTGACTTTTACGCTTGCAAGTATAAGGCGATCCCCTCCTCCCCCAAGACTCCGACGTCTTCGACTTTTCACGCTCTCCTTTCTGGTCACGCGGCTCCCTCAGGCACGGCGATAAGACGAAAGACGCACCACTCTGAGAGAATTCACAATAATTGTTTCTCTGTCTCACTACAGGCTTCTAGTTGCATGGCGATAGATCCATTTGTACAGCACGTCGTGCGAAATTAATCGACCAAGTTCGAGCGATAGAAGCGACAAAGCGAGAAATATCTGTCGATTGTGCGTGTGTGTGTGTGTGTGTGTGTGTGCGTGCGTGCACGCGCGTGTCACAAAAGGTGTCTTGCAAAGCTGTCGATACAATCGACAATTGTACAGCCGATTCGATCGTAATTCTTACTATTAATTCACATTAATAGTGACGATTATCGGTATCTAACCGATTATTCAATTATAATTCTTGCTATTAATTGGCATTAATAGTGATAATGATTAGAATCTACGCGAGTAGGGGAAGCATCCGTGCTTTAAGGAGTCAGCGTTGCCCGCCTCACGACTCTCTGGAACGCGCAAATCAGATCCCGTCGTCATCGTCATCACGCTTCTCGCATCTCGTAATCGCTTCGCAAGAACGACGTACCTCGCGGACGATACCTTTAATACGATCACGTCGTTCCTTCGCAGGAACAGCAGACGCCGCTTCACATCGCCTCGCGGCTGGGCAACATCGACATCGTCATGTTGCTGCTGCAGCACGGCGCGGCCGTCGACACCGCTACGAAGGACATGTACACGGCGCTCCACATCGCGGCGAAAGAGGGTCAAGAGGAGGTAATGTACAAAGAGTACGCGCAAATAGCGGATCGCATCGACGCGCAAAACAGAATAAACCTGTTTTGGAACCGGCAACGCGAGTACCTCATTTAGGATGGGAGGGCCCACACCGGCTGCGGACACGTTTCCCTCCCCCCTTCATGTTATCGTTATCGCACCTGCGACCCGTCGTTCACGTTGGTTCATCTCGCACACATACCTGTTATGTTTTACGTATATTCTGTTGGTTGGTTGATTGGAGGTTTTGTTTTACGCTCGACTGCGCATTTTATCATGTTACGTTTGTTCTCTCGCCATGTAATCTCGTTATATAATAAACTCTTTGGTTACATTGTTTATTATACTTTATGTTCGCTTTATTAGTTATTAATTCTCCTCGTTTGTTCCTGATTTCTTTTTTGATTTCGTGCATACACGTGTCTCGCGCGAGATCCCCTCACCGACTTTCATTCTCCGCCTATATCTTCTCGCTGCTTCTCGCTCTGCCCCCCCCCCCTCTCTCTCTCTCTCTCTCTCTATTTATTTTATCGGGCGATCTCATCACGCGAAGGTATAGCCGGATTGAACGTGTATAATTTCACCCCGTGACATTTGGCAATCGCTTCCTTCCGAGGCTCGATATCGATTGTCAAGCGCTGCGAAGCCGAACATATACCTACGTTCCCCTGCACATTATTTCCGCGCGCGTCTTATAAATAATTTACTAACACACATCTTCGTAGAAGCCCGCACGAGTGTAATTAAGACCGTCGAAACGATAATTCAGCAACTCGCCGCAGACACCTCCCGCTATTTCGCGCAATAACGTCCGGACGCTCGAATAAGTTGATTTTGCGTGAACTCCTCGTTACCAATCGACATTTGTCTTGCGGAAGGTAACCTTTTTATTAAATTCATTCATAACACAAAAGTAAAATACGAAGTAATAAATCGTGTGCCAAAGTTTGATGAACGATGATATTAAGTTTCATCGTTCCGACGTGATTTTTATCCATCCGACCGAACTTCACCAAATTTTACTTCACCTCGTTAAAAACATCATCAGTTGGTGAAAAGTCGAACGCGACGGACAAAGAAGTATGCCGTTGAAATCATCAAGAGAGAACTCCACCTCATTTCTCTCGCTTTAGAAGGCAAAAGTTAAGCATGCGTTTCGCGGAGAAGCTCCTCTGTAACATAGAACCTTTCTCGCAAACAGGTAGCGGCCATTCTCGTGGAGAACAATGCTTCTCTCAAGGCTGCGACGAAAAACGGCTTCACACCTTTACATATCGCGGCCAAGTACGGCAATATGAACGTCGCAAATATACTTTTGCAGAAAGAGAGCAAGCTCGACGTTCAAGGAAAGGTTCGTGCTCACTCGATCGCAAATCGTGTCGGTTTACGTGAAGAGAACGTATATGAAATACACCAAACAAAAACTAAAAGAAGAAGGTCACTTTACTTCCTCTCAATTTCGCCGGGAGAATCCCGACGGAGCTCTTTGCGCATTCCGACACTATGCGTCGCATCGTTTATCTCTCGGCTATTCTCTGACGAGTTCGATCGAGTTATGCGGAACTTGTGCTTGACATTTCAGAACGATATCTCACCCTTGCACTTGGCTTGCCACTACGATCACCCTAACGTAGCGAATCTTTTATTAGAGAAGGGTGCGTCTCCCCACCTCGCGTCTCAAAATGGCCACACGCCGCTCCATATCGCGGCTCGCAAAAATCAGGTAAGCTCACGGGTCAGACTCGCGACGCGATAGGGACACGATTTCTCCAACGTGCCGACAATTGTGCCGTCTCGATAACGCTTGCCATCGCTGCGAATAACTCTCGCGAGAACGACGCGTTTGTTTCACGCGGCTAGATGGACATCGCTTCGACTCTCTTGGAGAACGGAGCGAACGCGAACGCGGAATCCAAGGCGGGCTTTACCCCGCTGCATCTGAGCGCACAGAAAGGCCACTACGATATGACGAATTTGCTCATCGAGCACGGCGCCAATCCCAATCACAAGGCGAAGGTAAATCTACTTTCTTGCGTATCTCCCCCTATTATATGTCTTCAATTCTACACTTGAATTAATCAGAATTGTTATAAATGATCATCTACATAATCGCCAGTTCATCTAGTTGTAAAATAAGAAACCGTAATTTCAATTTTGCAATTTTTACATTGTTGAAATTGTTGCAATGTGTATAATTTGTGTAATTTTGTAATCTCGTAGCTGTGAAGAATTCAATTTTTTGCTATTGCTCTGATTTTGTGATTTCTTCCGGTTTTCCGTATTTAATATTGATGCTATCGATATTTCCGGCCTTCTCTTTCAATCCCTTTCTGAACAAAAGTTTCCGTTTCGACACTCGCATGTTGCGGGTGAAAAAGGAAAGACCACGTCGAGCTTAACACTTGCTCGTTTTCGGTCCGTCAGAACGGGCTCACGGCGTTGCATTTGTGCGCACAAGAGGATTTCATAAGGGTGGCTTCCATTCTGGTAAAGAACGGGGCCGACGTCGAGAGCCAAACTGAGACTGGCTATAGACCGATACACGTGGCCGCGCACTTTGGAAATTTGTCGATGATACGCTTTCTACTGAAGCACAATGCCGAGATCGATGTCAGAACTAATCAGAACTACACCCCGCTTCATCAGGCCGCTCAACAAGGCCACGCTCACATCGTCACTGCTTTGTTGGAGGGGAATGCCTCGCATAAAGCGCGTACTAACGTAAGCGATATCGCTGCTACGTGTGTGCATTTCATTTATATATCTCAGTAATATCTTCGTAACGCTTTAAGCTTGAAAAAAGTCGCGCTTCGAAATAGTCGTAAATCTCCTCACTAATAAAAATATTTTCTATTTACTCTTAACAACAACAAATTTTCTTACTTATTCAACGTTAGATCACATAATTATTGTAGATTATTATATACAATGTTGCTATACACGATAAGTTACGAATTGAAAATTTCTTCATCACGAGAAGACACCTCAATTCTATTTTATAAAATCCGACGAATTTACGAATTCTGTTGTTGCTTAGGACGGTTTGACGGCGCTGAACATAGCTCAAAAATTAGGCTACATCTCTGTGATGGAAGTACTGAAAGGATTGCCTTACGACAGTATGACGCCAGATAACAAAAATTGGGAGGAAAAGTACAAAGTCATAGCTCCCGAGAGCTTGCAAGAGACCAGCTTCATGTCCGATTCGGATGATGAAGGGGGTATGTGCATGCGTAATGCAAACACAATATCGAAGATAATTCGACTTCCCTCACAGAGAAATTTCTCTCTTTAGGTTCTGACGCATTGATCAGCGAACAGCCTTATCGGTATCTCACGGCTGATTTGATGAAGAGTTTGAGAGATGATTCGTTGCCCATCGACGTCACCAGAGATGATCCAATACACAGACAAGGTAACTCAAACTCCGTTATCAAAGGTGGCTGCTTTGAAGAAACATAAAAATCAAATTTAGATCACATACGTCAACTAACAATTCTAGCGAGGCTTCCGAAACTGGACTTACGCAATCTTGTGAAAATAGACGATTCGATCTTTTGGAGTTAGGCAATTCGTCTCTTGAGTCATCTTTTTGTGATATTCCTAATTCGAAAACTTTTTAGTCCGATAGAAACGCGAGTAATATCACAGACGTGATTTCGTGACGAAATGTCCGAGTTACAAAGAGTTAACGCGGACGCGCATTTGCCTCGAGAGTTATAATTGTTCTCGTTTTAGTTACAAAAGAAGAGAAGCAAGAATTCACACAAAGCAATAATTACTGTTTAGCAGAGAACTTCGACAGCACCGATGGACTGAATCTAGGGTGAGCGCGATACGACATTATTAATTTCTTCTCCCCACAAAATAAAATATGTTATCGCTTATATTTACTACATATTTGTACAGAATTATCATTAGTTGTTTTTATATTAAAAAGTTAAGGGTAAAATCGAAGTTATTTATCGTGAAAATATAAAGATTTTGAAATAAGAAGATAAATGAGAGAGTTTTGATACCGATTCGAAAAAAATGTATGTTTCTAAAAGTGCACGTTTTATTTTGCAGAAGGCTGCACTTCAGATCGTAAGTATAAAATAGCACCAAAGTTAAAAAGAAATACGAACGAACAAGTAAACGAGCGCGGAGAATCACGGGGGAAATGGGGATTTTATAGATTTTTGGTGAGCTTTCTGGTGGATGCGCGTGGAGGTGCGATGAAGGGATGCAGACACAGCGGAGTACGCATTATCGTGCCGCCTCGAAGAGCAACGATGCCGATTCGCGTGACATGCCGACTGGTGAAACCTAACAAAGTGGCGAATCCACCCCCGCTGATGGAGGGGGAGGCCCTCGCTACGCGGGTCATTGAGATGGGTCCGGTCGGCGCAAGATTTTTAGGGTAACGCGCGCGTGATAATTTGAATAATACAAAATATAAATTTCTCAAAAAAATACATGTCACAGATCTAAAATATACATTAAATATACAAATATTTTAATTAAAATGTCTAAAAGCACTATATATTAATTCTAAAAAAAATATATTTCTGAGATATTTTAGGCCTTTGTGGAGAAATGTTTAATTTGGTTTTTGAGTTAGTGCTCTGTTCTTCGAATGAATTTCGCGAAACGTCGGAAAACAAATCCACGAAGGACGCAGCACTAACCCGGAAACGAAATTAAGCAGATTACAAAGAAATAAATTAATTACAGACCCGTTTTGATCGACATCCCGCACTTTGCGTCTATCCGCGGCAAGGAGCGGGAAATCATTATCCTGAGAAGCGAGAATGGGGAAACGTGGAAGGAACACGACAACTCCGCGGATAACGACGATACTCTGCTCAACACGCCTCACGGTATGGTCTATCGCGCGAGATCTAACAATATACTAATTTCTGTTGAATTATCATAATCGCGTCGTTGGTACCTCCAGATCCTCAGATGAGCGCCACGCACTCGGGCAGAATCACTCGCATTATCACCACAGACTTTCCGCAATACTTCGCGATTGTGACGCGGATCAAGCAGGAAGTTCACGTGATCGGCGCCGAGGGTGGTATTTTGATATCAAGCGTGGCGAGCCACGTGCAGGCCGTCTTTCCCGCGGGAGCGCTAACAAAGAAGATCAAAGTCGGATTACAGGCGAGTGAACAGTTCCGGTCACGCGGTAACGCGTCTACGAAAAACACGAAGCTTCCAATCGGTTTTTTCTTTTGTTTACAGGCGCACGTTATTCCCGCCGAACTTACGGCCAAATTGCTCGGTAATTGCGTCGCCGTATCGCCGGTGATCACGATCGAACCCAGAAGACGGAAGTTCCACAAACCGATCACCCTGACGATCCCCGTGCCGCAGGCCGCGAACAAGGGGATGATTAATCAATACGGCGGCGAGACACCTACGTTGCGGCTTTTGTGCAGCATTGCGGGTATCTATGAATTTCAGATTTTGGACAAAAACAACGTCCACAATCGGGACGTAAGACGTTTTTTAGACGTCAAAAAGACAAACATCTTAAAGACATCTTATATCACGACATCTTAAAAATGACTTCGAGACGTCTAAAAGACGTCTCATGTCCCGATTTTGGACAGTCGTGCTGTCTGGGAAGTTACACGTAAACTCTGTGAAGAATGCGACATATTTATTAATTTATTTATTTATTTAAATAGGAAGCACCCTTTAATTTGCAAATAAATGAAAGAGAAATAGAGAAAAAAGGAAAAGAAAATATCAAAATTTAGATTTTGATATACCTATATTAAATAACAACCATAATATATCTTAGATTTCTAATGATTTCAGTAGTAATATATTACAGAGAAACAATGTTATAGTTTAGTGACTTATAATTGAAGAAAAACAAATGTGTTTAAATTCTAATCTACGTCAGGAGACCAAGCTGTTATTTTTCTTTCACATTACGACAAATAAAGATTAAAGATTCGCTTTAGGTGGTACCAACGAAGCGCAATGGGAAGATGTCACCGGCTCAACGCCGTTGACCTTCATGAACGACAGAGTGTCGTTTACCACCACCGTTTCCGCGAGGTTTTGGTTGATGGATTGCAGAAATATTGTTGCAGTGCCGAAAATGGCAACGGAGTTGTACGAAGAGTCCTTACACATACCGTATATAACGAAGTGAGTGAGCTTTCTGTAACTTAAAATTATTCAATTTTCACTCTTTCTTAGTATAGTGAAAAAAAAAACGCATTTTCTATGTACAGCTTCATTATCTACTCAAAGAGGATGGACGTATTGGAAGCCACCCTGAGAATATTGTGCATGACCGATGGCAAAGAAGGCATGCATACTTTAGAGAGGCAAGAGGAATTTTTAGAAATCGTTAAAAGTCGTGATGTTGAGGTATACTCGTGTGAAATTTTATAATAATATAGTATAACGATTCTCAAACTGTCTCAATCTCAAAACTTTTTACACAAATATAATATTATTGATAATATAACTGCGAAAGTATATAAAACTTACTAATTTAAAAAAGTACTGGTCTGAATTTACAGTATATAAAAATTTTAAATAATAATTTGAAAATTCCGCTAAATTCAATTTTTACGAATAAAAAGTTCGTTTTTCATTATATTACACATCGACATGTTTTATTGTTTTTAGAAATACTTGTTCGTTTTTGACAATAATATAGATTTCTTACAAGATCCTCGTTTGAGAATCACTAATATAATATTTCGATGTGATTTAAATGAACCATTCTACGAATATTTATTTAACAGGCGCTCGATGGAAAAGATCTTTATATCGAATTTAGTGGCAACTTAGTGCCGGTAACAAAGTCCGGAGTACAGCTAAAATTCACATTCAAAGCTTTCCGACAAAATCGCTTGTCGTTTCATGTTAAAGTGAAGGATCCATTATTGGATCCCGTTGCGAGGATGTTATTCATGCGAGAACCGAAAGTCGCTAAGGGAGAACCAGCTCAACAGCCAATTTGCGTATTAAATATTGTTCTACCCGAAATTATTACGAAAGAGGAATTACAAAAGAAGTTGAAAGGTACGTCCGTTGGATACTTTTCCGAGAAGAAGCGCAAAGTATTCCGAAAGTTATTTATTTGCTTCGAATCAAATATACAAGTATTAATATGCGAATAATAATAATAATGTCAATATCTACGTGAATTAACAATCTACGTTACTTTAATTAGTTATTGTTAATTCTCTCTCTTTCTCTCACTCTCTCTCTCTCTTCGTCGCTCTAGGTTATGAAGATTCTAATATCATAAATCAAAAGCTAGATTATTACAAATCAAAATACAAAACGGAACAGATGGAGAAATCTGATAAGCCTAAAGAGACTTCGCCAGAGAAGAAATTTATAACGGACACGTTACAGAAGGAACAAACAGGTATGATTTCGAACATTTAGCGAATAGAACAGAATAACGTTGTTCTCGCATGTTGAACACAAACGCGGACATTGAATATCAAGCGAGTAAGCCCCGAGAACATTTATTCGAGCGTAAAGTTACTCGCGTCGAGAGAGTGGTCCAACTTAAAACAAAAAAAGAAAGCAAGAAGAAGGAAAAATCATTTTCGTCCATGCAATACGGAAAAATAACCAAAAATGCAAGGTGCAAAAAGCGAAGTTGCGCGATGAAGCGCGTCACGCGTTTTGTCGTCAATGAGCGTAGCGTTATGCGAGGATATCTCCCGTCGGGCCTAACGACAGGTGCAGAGCGAAATCTTGAGAAAGGTCTAGCGACGTAGGTCGTTTTTAAGCGAAAGATACCTGCGAGACCGAGAGGAAAAAGAAAATACTTTTAAAGCGACGAGATCGGGGGAGCAGCGTCGAGTCGAGTGTCATTTCTCCTCGACTCGGGAACGACGAGACTCGATTGTCATTCTATTTTCATTTAAGGGGAGAAAGACAATCGGCTTACGGCTTAAGAGTTCGGTGAGGCTTCCTTAACTTAATTAGGCGTAACAGCATCAACAAATGCTTGAGAGTGCCGGAGCAGACTTGTTTAGTTCGATCTGTGCCGACCAAGGGGACGGTGCAAATTATTATAATCTGTCTATCTTACAAGCGCCCGAAAGCGATTGCCGAAACGTGAGTCTTTAGTTTTTTTGCCATCCAAACACAACCCTGTTGTTTGATTCTTCGTCTCCTTTTCTCCTCATTCAAGTCGGAGGGTTCGACGCGAAGGTGACGGTGCACGATTCGCGAGGTCCTCTCTGAGCATGCACTCATCTCGAGAAGCGAGTCCTGCGGAATCACGAGGTCTTCATCCTTGCAACGAACCCCTCTCGACCAAGAGTTACGCGTTAATGTTCACGTTCTGTTTTAAACAATTCATTTCGAACTTCACGTCAACGTTAATTTCTCCCTATTTGCGTTTTTCCGTTTCAGGTGTTTTTATGTTCATTAGTAGTTTGCACTTGCACGGTCGCGCGTAAAACGAGTGTGTAGAAATCGAGCATCGGCCATGGCGGCGCAAGTCGACGAGCGCGCGGTCACGAAGCAGGACAGTCGAGCGGACGAGAGGGACTGTTCCTCCGGGACGAAGGTGAAACGCAAGTCCCGGTCCGCCAGGCGGCGGCTGAACGCGATGATGAGCAACGCGTCCCTGCATTTCTCCGACACGGACTCCGAGGGCGAGCTGACCATCATCACCTCGAAGATCGGCGAGCTCAGTCCGGCGAAAGCGTCCTTGCTGAACAAGCCACGTAGCCCGCTGATCTCCGTGGCCGGCGCGGAGGGCGGCGAACCCGGCGAGGTCAGGATCAACGACGACCTGGATTACCTCATAGCAGAAGGCGAGTCCAAGTCGCGGAATAGCTTTGCGGAGAACCTCACAGACGTCGACGAGATCTACAGCGACGAGGCCGACGAGAAAGACAGCAAACTGAACGTCGCCGACAACAGTTACCAAGCCGAGACTGACCTGGAGGACATGGAGGCTGACGAGGACATCCAACCGACCATCTACGTGGCGCCACGAGAAAACATCCTGGAAGAATTCAACGGGGAAATGATCACGACCAAGGAGGGCGACGGTCCGTTCTCCGTGGAGGTGCGAAATCGACTATCGCGCGAGGAGGTGTCCTTCGATAAGGATGCCGAGGACCCGGATATGCCGAACACCGATAGCGAGGACATGGAAGCCTCCGAGGACGAGAAGCTGAACGAGGCCGCGAGTAACGCGATCGTCTACGAGGACTTCAACGTCCTGGCCGCCTCACAAATCACCATGACCAATAAGACAAAGAGCAACCTGACGGTGTCTGACAACGTCGACGAGGCGATCAACGATTGCCACACCGACGTTGAAGACGTCGATTAAATCGACAACAGGATCGTACGGAGAAGAAAGCGAGAAAACTGCAACGTGAAGCGACTCCTGCGGAAACCCTCGGGAGATTTCCGCGGCCTTTCCGATTGTAAGTATCAAGGATTGACGTACGTAATATGAGAAGCATGTCCTCGTCGCAGATGAGGGTCAACGAGGGTTATTAGGAACTATCGACCGATTGTGATCGGATCAGGTCACACCGAAATTGTCTAACAGGATCTGACGCTTACGATTGCTGCGGTCAGTTGCAACGTTGCATAACCGTAGCCATAGACGCTACATATTACGCAGACGTGAGAAACCATGATTCGATTAGAGAGTCTTGCTTCGAGGATTAGCGGGATCTCGAAGCCTTCCTCGTCAGCCTCGCGCAGCATTGTAGGAATCTTCGGGGATGACGGGGAGAAAGTACGTCGATTTGAAGGCCGCGAAGTTCACGAACAGAGACATATGTCGACACATAGCAGCTCTTCGAACCGAAGATGAATCGGCAAGACGACAAAATGAAAATGACACGCGTTCTTCTACCATTTTTGCGTTAGTCTTTCGTTTCCTTTCGTTACTCTTCGTCCTGTCTCACGAGAGTTACCCAGAAAGTATCGTCCCCCTCTCTCTTTCTTCTTCTCGATATTTATTTATTTTATTCTTAATATTTCTATATTCCATATTCTTAATATTTATTTCGATAAGTCAAGAGGAAATTTTCACTGGAAAGCAGAATATGTCAGTGAAGAATTAATTTTTATCACGCGCAAGCAGGCGCATGATATCCTTGAAATAAATATTTGTCGAGTGAAGATGATAGGGAGCGTTATTTTCTGAGCAACCACCGTGTATGTGTGGCATTGTGCCAAGTTTGTCGCAGACTCTTTCGTTTTCCTTTTTGCACCGTGCCTAAAAAAAGATCAATAAACCTACCACTGAGGGGAACATGACGATCTGGTCAAAGCGAAATAGCATTCGGTATCGACTATGAATAGCAAGAAATTACAATTACGAAATATTTCTTTTTTTAAATAGCGTTAGTCACTTGCGAGAAAAGAAGTCCGCTTATAACGCTTATAGTCACGATATGTGTCAGATACACATCTTCCTTCAATTACCCGAATAATGACACGGTACGATCCGCCGAAACGTTTATCGACGCATTAATTCTTATATCTTTGTTACAAAACCGATAATAACGCAATATTTGTGTACTTGTTATAATTGCAGACCGAACTGCCGTCCTCAACATTATCATAGACAACCGTATGGGATATTAATGCAAAAGAGTATGTCTCCGCAGTCTAGAGAAATTTCCCGTTATAAACTGATACATATATACATATATATAATCATATTATATATAATTATATATAAATTAATATATGTAAATACGTATATATAGAGATAATTATTAATTACTAATGCTCTTGACAACTATTCTCTTCTCGTTTCTTGGCAGTGGTACTGCTTTTAGAATCAAGCCGTTGCACGCGCAGAAAGTGCAATAGAAAATGATTACGATGAGGGAGAAAGCTATATAACACGGTTCTACGCAAGTTTCAACACACTCGCTATACATGGTATACGCATTCGTCGTGATTACGAATCACACTCTTAGCGGTTACAGCGTTACGACAGTTCTAATTATATACAGTGTTACACGCAGTGGTTCTAATTATATATCGTGCATACGATGAGTTTACATAATATAATTCCCATTCTCACACGAATATATATCTATACCAAAGAGAGAAATGAACTAAAAGGACAAAGGGATCTGCGCTACGGAGGTTCTCGCTCGCCAGATCTCGCCGTGGATAAATGAGAGCAATTGTAAATGACAAAAAAGAAACACATACACATACACACATATATGAACAAGCATACGAATCAACACATACACACCCGCACACACATACACGCACCACACGCGCATGCACACACACGCACGCGCACACACACACATGCGTACATTCACATATTCACACACTCACGATGTATCCCAATCATTATAACGACGTGCTTAATAAAAAATATAATGTTAGCATAATTCTTGGTTGTTCTAGATGCCGCTACTATCCACGAATCCTTTGCACAAAAAGCGGCTTGTCCCCTAGAATCCGTAGATGCTAGTTATCCCAATAAAGTAAGTGCCGATCAGGAACCGGATCTGTCGCCGGAACTCGAAAGGCAGACCTACTTGGAGAAGCGCAAGTTCTGGGAGGACATCTCGAGGAAGCGCGCGAGCTACCAACGATCCGAATCCGAGGTCTCGAGGGCCTCGCAGCTCACTATCAATGAAAGCGACAGCGAGTCCTGCCTGCCGAACGTCGTGTCCGAAGAGGATGGGACCACCGAGGGCATCTCGGATGTCATAAGGTCGGAGACCATCGAGGACATCAACGTGCCGGACATCTCGGAGTGCTCAGTGGCGGAGAAGGCCCACTACTTCGAGGAGCAGATCCAGAAGGAGATGGCGAAGGGCACGCCGAGGCTGCCCCATCAGGAGTCCGTCAAGTCCGAGAAGGACCGGCTTTTCAGGGGTAAGTCGATCGAGGATCAAAAGATCCGCACGGAGAAGAGCACGCTGGAGATGACGAAGGAGATGATGGAGATCGAGGAGAAGCATGTGGCGGAGGCGAGGGAAATAGAGAAGATCTTGAAGACTACGGAGGACACCAAGTGGACGAAAGAAGCGCGAAGGGAGTCGAAGGATATCGATAAGAAGGAGAAAGACTGGGACGAGGACAAAGAGATGCGCGAGGAAGTTCAGAAGGTAATAGCTCAGCCGATGATGGAGATTTGCAAAGAGCTATTGAATAAGGAGAGACAGCTGGCCGAGGAACCGCAGGTAAAACCCGTTGAGACGAGAGAGATGGAAGAAGAAACGAGAGAAGAGATGCCGATAAAGATGACAGAGATAATCGAGAAAGTGGAGGAAAGTGCGAAGCCGGAACGTGCGAGGGAGAAAGTATCGTTGAGAGCTGAGAAGTCGCAGGAGGAGACGGATGTTATCAGAAGGGAAGCCGTGAGGGATATAGAAGAGACGGAGAAAGTGGAACAAATAATGGAAGTTAAGACAATATCGGACGAGATGAAAGTGAGAGAAGTTAAGAGAGAAGTTAAAGAGGAAATCTCAAGGCCGGTGAAACCGCTCGAGGAGATCACAACGACAGAGGTTACAACGATCAAGGAGGAACCTGTGAAGAAAGTGCCGGAGAAGCTTGTCGAAGACGTTGCTGAAGCGAAGAAGCACGCGGAAGAATCTGCGATTCAAAGGAAACCCGACGTGTCGACGGGTGTCGTTCAGAAAGTCGAGGAGGAGCCGGAGAGGCCGGAGACACCGGTGAGCAAGGAGGTCGTCAAGGAAAAGTCGTCCGGGAGACGAATAATCACGGAAGAGACAACGATCATCTATAAGGTGCAGAAGGACGGAACTCTCGTGCAAGAGCAGATCACAAAGTCGGTGCAGATCGAGGGGGCGGACGGTCAGCCGGTCACATCGGTCCCGGAGGACACTGCGTACGAAGTGCAGATGACAGGCAACGTGGAGAAATTGCGAGCGGAAATTAAGACCGAGTCGGTTCCCTTGGACGTGAAGAAAGAGATCCAGCAGTTCCTCGAGGGAGAAAAACGAATGACTGAAGAGGGGACGGTGGAAAAGAAGCCCGAGATAGAGGAGATCGAAACTGAACCGCCGCAGAGGATGGAAGAAACAGTTAGCAAGGACGTCGCCGACGACACTATCCTCCTCGAGAGAAGACCCGTCGTCGAGACGGAGATGAAGCAGATGAAGAAGGAGTCTCGCATTCCGATTTCCGCGGCGATGGCCGAGAAGGATAAGAGCCAGAAAGAGACAAAGGGCAAAACTTCGCCGGAGAAGCCCGAGGATAAGCCAATCAGGAGCCCAGTCATGGAGAAGGAGAAGGACGTCACGTCGCCTCCCGGCAAAAAGAAGGAATTCGAATCTCGCATACCGAAACGCATCATGGAAAGTGCAACGGTGAAGGAGAAAGAGGCGAAGAAGGATCTGCCAGGACGGAAGGACGGCGAGACGATCACGATTACCGAGAAGAAGTCCAGCGAGGAGGTGACGTCGCGGCACGAGGAACACTCGACCACGAAGAGCAAGACGCAAACGTTCTCCAAGACTTTCGCCGACGCGCAGGATGCGTTCAAGATGTTCGAGGACATGAGCGCGATGAAGGACAAGGATTTCGCGACGGTCACCTCGAAGGTCGACACGAAGGCGAGCAGTAAAGTGGAGAAGAAGGAGGTGGTTTCGTCGGAGATATCCAGCGGCGCGGACAAGTTCATCACTCACGAGGAGAAAGAGAGGGTGGAGCGGAAGAAGTCCTCGGAATCCAAGATGACTAAGGAGTCGCCGGCTGAGACGATAGAAGAGAAGAAAAGCAAGAGCGAAGAGGTGGACAAGACGACTGTGCAGAAGATGTCGATGAACGTGACGGAAGGGAAGGAAGTGATAGACGCCAGCGCCTCCGAGTCCAGTGTAAAGAGCGAGAAGGAAGGGCTGTTCAAGTCGGTGGAGGATAATGAGGGTACCGCGACGCAGGAATCTGGAACTATTAGAGTCAGAGAGAGCGACGTCGACGTGGCAATTAGGATCAAGAAGGACGACACGAAGAAAGTGGAGGACACGAAGGGCTCGCCCAAAGCGGCCGCTGAAGAGATGGGGAAGGTCGAGATGATCGCGCAGGGCCAGTCTTACAAAGAGAGCTCGGAAAGTTTCAAGGTCGAGCAATTTATCCCCAGCCAGAAAGCGCAGGACGAGGCGAGGAAGGATGAAGTACCCGTAAGTGAGGAAGCCCCGGTAACTCTGGAGAAGAGGCAGCAAATGGTCGCCAAGAAGATCGAGGCGCGAAACATAGCGGAGGATCTGATACAGTCGATCGAGAGCGAGATCGAGAGGAGGTCGTCGACGTCAGGACTGAAGACGCAGATGTTGAACAAAGAGTACATAGACCAACTGGTGTCCGAGAAAAGCGACACCGACCATGAGAGACTAGCGGACGACTTGACGAGGAAGTTCGAGACCATAATGAAGCGGTCGTTTGACGAGCCGTCAGCGGAGAGCAAAGGACAGGAATCGTTCGACAGAGGATCCACCAAGGACAGTATAAGCGAGGACTTGACGAAAGACGAGGAGTCGTCGCACGAGAGGGAGGAGAGCCTGCCGTCTTCGCAAGCCAGGCTTCAGGACAGAGATATCACGATGAGTCCCAGCAGCATGTCCGAACAGATTGACCTCGAGGGAACGATCGACGTCGACACGAACGAACTGGAGGACATATCCAAGCCTACGTCCAGTCCACCGTCCGAGAAATTGCGATCCGACAGGTCGAGCGGCCACATCGAGCCACTACAGAGGGACTTATTCAGCGACACCAGCGTATCCAAGGATAAGATCGTGTCGGAGCTCTCAGGAGCCAGGGTGTTGGAGATCCTCGAGCCAGGAGGAGACAGTCGGCAAGACTCGGTCGATGTGCCGTCCTTGGAACTGGACGAACACAGGTTCTCCGAGCAGACCAGCAGAGACGTGGCCTCTCTGCACGAGAGCGCGGCGGTGGATTCCTTGGACAAGTTCGTCCAAGAGAGAGACATGACCGTGAGTCCTAGCACGGTGTCCGAGGACGCCAATGCTACGGACTATCCTTTGGCTCACGAGCAGCCGATGGTGCCGTCGAGGGAGTACGACTCTGGGATGCGAAGAGCGGACAGTTTCGAGATCGAGAGTCCGCCGTTGGTCTCGCCGCGGACGAAATTGGTGCACGATCTGGATCTCAAGCCGGTCAACTGGATGATCGGCGACGAGAAGATCGTGATAACGGAAATGCTGCAGCCGTCGGAGGCGTTCAATCAGGAATTGGAGGAGTACGAGCGACGTGCCCACACTTCCTCTCAAGACGAATCCATGGACTTCGAGCAAGAATCCGTGACCAAGTCCTCGGAAGACATCAGCGTGATAGAGTCGGTGAGGGAGTCCGCGGCCGGCGGTGAAGCCGCCAGCGCGACCGTCACGACGACCAGCACGAAGAGCAGCAAGTTCACGGTGGTGCCAGTCACCGAGCCGGATTTGGACAGCGAACTGATCGAGGATAAATTGGACGTTACGTGTCAAGAGCTGGTCGACACGCTGCAACGGGAATACGACGCCAAGACCCCGACGGACGAGTACACGGCTGGTGTGCGGCAATTGATACCCCGAGAGGATTTCGACCTGGAGGCGAGCATCACCGAAGCCGTGACGGAGGTTGTGCCCGTGAAGGAAGAGGAAGCGAAAGATCTGACGTCCGAGGATGTGGCTGCGAAAATGACGATCCCCCGACAGGATGTTGCCGCGGCAGAAGTAGAAACTGTCGAGCCGACGCACGTCGGCGAGGTCACCGCACCACAAATAATCGGGGAAAGGCAGAAACAGGCTGAGCCTACGGACGAGAGGGTGAAAGAGGCGAAAGAAGCCGCTGAAGCGCGAAAAGACACCGCGAAGGAGCCGGAGGCTTTGTCGAAGAGCGCAAGGGTCGACGACGTGCTGAAGGAGTGGACGGAGAGCTACCGGCCGAAAATGAGGAGCGAGGAGTACAAACGACACATGGAGAAGAGCAGCGAGAAGCACGACAGACCGGGCAAGTCGACGACTGCGCATACCGATACCTGTGCCTTCAAAATCAAGAAAGACGATCTGCAGAGCGTCGATCTGAGCGCGCGATACGCGATCACGGTGCTGGATCAGGTGGTGAAGAAGGAGATCGCCGAGGTGAAGGAGTCCTTGGAGGCGGCCAAGCAGGACCTCATAGAGGAACTGAGTGAGAACAGCGAGACCATTATACAGATCAAAGATTCGCCATCGGAGTTCCAGTTCAAGCTCCAACCGGAGTCCATCCCGAACGACTTGCCATTTTTGTACAGACCACCGTCCATCGAACACGTTCCTGCGGAGACCGAGCGGGAAGTCGAGGCTGAAGCTGCGCGGGGCGAATCGCCGCTCGCCTCGAAACCTCCCGAACTCGACGAGCCGAAGGTGGAACGAGTGAAGGAGGCTGTCGTCGAAGACGAGCCGATCGTCGAAGCAGCCGTCGAAGTTGCCGACGAAGAGAAGCCAGCTGTTGTTGCTCAAGCACCCGAAATCGACATCGAGAAACATGAAACTGAGACTGTAATAGCCGTCCAAGACGAGTCGAGGGAGGACGAAGAAGACGATCATCCCAGTCCGCTTCCCGCGAGCATATCGGGCTCGGACGTAGACAACAGGGACGACAGTTACTCTTTGGCACCACCCTATCCGGCACCCAGGAGACGCCAAAAGCCAGCGAGGATATCCAAGAGAGTGAAGACCTCCGAGAGCGAGGCCGGCTCGAGCTCCGGCGAGAGCAGCAACTACCAATCTTGCGACTACGAGAGTGGAAGCAGACCCAGCTCGTCCGACGTCGAGGCGCTGCAGTCCGCAGGTGTGCAATCGGGAACCGTCTCGGAATACGAGACGGCGATGATGTCGATCGAGCAGTCGGCGTCGAGGCCGACGTCTCAAGACTACCAAACTGCGGCGAGCACGCTGAGCTCGCGCGAGTCCATGAAATCCTTGAATTCCCTGAGCTCCGGCCACCTTGGCAGCATCGACAGCACCAGCGAATTGTCGGAGACGCTGGTGCCGTCGGACGTGGACGCGGACAAAGACGAGATCGAGGAGAACCTGGAGAGCGCGTTGGACGCGGAACAAGACGCCGAGGCGTCGGACTCTTCCGGCAGCGACATACCGATGGACGAGGCGTTGGACAAGATCGACAGTCACATACCGTGTCGCATGAAGCGCTCGTCCGAGATGATCTTCCAGCAGATCATGGACGACAGTGTCAGCATGGAAACGGAGTCGATGGAGGAGGCGTTGGAGGAAGACGCCCGAGTCATGGACTCCGCCACTTCCGCCTTCATGGACGCGCCCGGAGCCCTCCAGTCGGTCGACATTATGACGTCACGGGTCACCGAGGACGGGGTTCAGAGCGTGTGCACGCAAGTGATCTCGACGCGGGTTACGAGGCCGAGCGATAGCGAGGAACTCGAAGAACTCGAGGGGGAGACAGGGGGAGACGCGGAGAGAGACATAGAGGCGACGGAAACGGCGGAGAGCCTGGAACAGAAGTCGGCTCTCGAGGCCGGGGAGGAGGGCCTCGAACCGACGGCGCAGACGTCCGTCCACTCGATGCTGCAGCAGGCCAGTATGTCCTTGTCCTCGGCGTCGGGCATGTCCTTCGACACGGTGATAGAGAAGGACAAGTCCGAACGTCACTCTCACTCGCCCGACAGCGACTCATTCGAGCTGGTGGACAAGCCCGACATCATCGACGACTTCGTCGTGATCGAGGAGGTCGGCCGGGAGGCGGAGGAGTTCGACTCCGAGGGCAAGAGCATCCGCATCAGCTCGATGCCGCAGGTGACCAGCAAGAACTACGACCGCGACCTGGAGAACCTGATCGCGGAGAACAAGGAGGACACGCAGGTGTCGAGCAGCCAAGCGTCTAAGAACAACGACCTGTTCGACTTCGAATCCGAGGAGAGCCCGCCGCAGGCGTCCAACGACGAGCAGTACTCGCAGTCCTACTCCGACGAGGAGCAGTACGAGGGTAAGAAGTGGGTTGAGATGCAGTTCCACTCGGACGCGCGTGTCTACGACATCGAGTACGACCGCGGGCCGTTGGAGGACATCAAGGAGGAGGAGGTCACGGACTTCGAGGCCGGCAGCAGCAGATTCGGCAGCCTCGGCAGCCACAAGGAGTCGATAGGCAGCGTCGGCAGTATGCGCGGTAGCTTCGGCAGCACACCCGAGTACGACATGCTCGCCGGCAAGAAGCACTTCAGCAAGCCCACGGACCACGACACCGTGTCGCTGACGTCGCTGCAGGAGTTCGAGCATCTGGAGAGCACCGTCGCGGCGGAGAACTCGCGGCGGCTGCAGTGCGGCTCGCAGGACTCCATCAACAATGGCAGCCTGCCGAGGAGGTACGTGACCGGACGCTCCGGCCACGGCGACGACGTCTCGTTGTCCTCGCTGAAAGACTTCGAGGGCCTCGAGAAAGCCTGCAGGGAGGCCCACCTGATCGAGCTGCGCGCCCGCGAGGAGGAGGATCTTCTGGAGCACGAGAGCCCGGAGACCAAGTACAAGATGGAGAATCTGCCGCGCTCGAGGACGGAAACCAGCGCGGCGGGCTCGTTCAACCCCAGCACCTCGGGCTCGGACGACTACGAGAAGAGGATAAAGGAGATCGACGAGATCATACGTATCGCGCAGTCCAACGTGGAGAGACTCGACCGACAGGACGATACTACGGAGGACATCTCGCAGATCGAGGTCACCGATGCCGAGCGAGTGGTCACGCAACCGGCCACGCAGACCCTCCCGGAGGAGGTGCAGCCGGAAATGGAGGAGCGAGAGGTGGAGGAGGAGGGGCAGGCTCGGGCGCAGAAGGAGACTAATGTTATGGAGACCAGCACGGACTCCTTGGAGCTGGAGGACAACGCGGAGAAGAAGTATCACCCGCTCTGCCGCAGCTCCGACTCTCTCGAGATGAAGACCACCCTCGATTACCCGTCTCTGAGTTCGGACTCGCTCAATAACGTGAGGGACGCGAGGGAGACGCCGCTCGACACGGCCGGCGGCAATCAGTTCGGCGGTAACGGCCGACGTATCTCGTCGGATTCTCTTGACATGCCTTTGCTGGAGCAACAGGATGTCGGAGCGTCCGGCAGAGGAAGCAACGACAGCGACGGCCGTCGCGCGGAAGACGCGGCGGTGGCCGACAGTTCCGCGGGACAAACACCTTCGACTCACGCGAGAAACGGCAAGACGAAAACGTCACCAAGTAGCGGTACATAGGACAATTTTCGTAGGTGAGTGCGTCGATGAGCGAAATGAAATCCCGTCGGGAATTTTGTTATTGCTTTTGCCTTAGGAAGAGAGCCCGGTTCTGTTGATTCGGTCCTCTGTGATCAGTTGATTAATTATATTCTTCTTCTTCTTATTATTATTATTTTTTTTTTATTGACATGGCGTGGGTTTATTAATTCATTATTATCACATTCGCTCGTATTACAGATAGCGGACCATCGAGGACTTGCCACGACGTCACAAATATATTACCGAATAATTCAAGAAGCTTTACATGTAAAACACGATATTAAATAATGTACTAAAGAACTTGTGCATTGTGGATATATAAGATACTATTATATTCGTCTTTGTTTTACGCAATGTCTTCTGAGAGCATTTACATTGACGCTTAAGTAAGATAGTTACGAACTTCAAAATATAATATTGTTTCGTTTCTCAAGACGGTGGGGGGGGGGGGGNGGAGAGAGAGAGAGGGAAAGACGCTTGCTTGTTTGTCATTATTGGATTTTCGGATAGATTAGCAATTCGCGACGGTTCTCTTGGCTGTACTCGTTCGAGGGGAACGCGAAACGACTTTGCTTAACTGTTTTTGGAAGTAAACTTCACATACATACGTTACGTTGCGTTTTTCGAGCGTATATATATTTTAAAAAGTGCTACTTACGTGTTCTACTTGTATATTATGACGCGTACGTCACTGTACTGTATTGTAGCGTGTTTTATAAGCGTTTTCATTATGAGACGGTCTTTGTGGATGCGCTTTCGTAAAATTTGATAATGTATTCGACGTACCTCGTGTATCTCGTGTAATCATTTCAGGCGACGTTCGCAGAGGAAGGAAGAGAAGTCAGAAGGAAAAAAAGATATACAATAATACTACTATTATAGCGCATGTTTACGCGAAGGAACGGATACATAATATTTAAAACAGATAAAAAAATTTTATATGCGAATATAATATTTAGGACATTTACGGATGGCAGCGAAGTATAATACGTTTACGTTGAAAACGGATTCGACGATCGTTTGACGAATTTATTATATCTCTTTTCCACTTCTTTTACCGAGTACGATGTTACCGATTACGTTTACACGTGCACTGTATATTATTACAAGTTAACAATGTCATTTGAAAGGTTCGTTTTCTTAATGATGAAAATATACATCTGTGCATTATCTCGAGCTCTCTTGTGTGCGAGCGCACATTTATTTCCCTACATGAGATACGTTTTAATTATACGTTCACATGTGCCCACGGAAGTATTTTATATTATATCGAAATTATATATTATACGTTCTCATAAGACCAGAAGCGTCTACTTTCGATGCAATACATCACAAACGGTTGTGTCTTATTTAAAACGCGCAGTTATATACGTTCCTATCATTTTTCAAACTCCCTGTGTTTTCAATATTCAGTAGAGAGAAATAGAAGTTGTATTTACACCTTTAAGCTTCCATAGAAAACCGATAATAATATAACCGTGATATATACTGAGAAGAAAAATATCTAAAAACAAACGAATATTTCTTGGGTGTCCTTACACGATATTTACTTAAATCTAAATTCACTTTATGTAAATCGAATATTACTTACTTAAATCGAATAAACATTACTTGATTTGAATAAAAAGAATTTAGATTAAGTAAATATCGTGTAAAGACACACCAAAGAAATATTCGTTTGTTTTTATATAGTTTTTTTCTCAGTGTAATAATAAACAATTTCATCTGTCACAACAGATAAAAGAAAAATTGTAAAATGGGCGATAAAACAAGTAATAGTTACTTTTGTTATCATTATTCAAAAATTGGGTCACGCTTTTCCATCTTTTATTAAAAAAAAAAAAAACTCGAAATGGTAACGATGTTACACGTAACAATTCACTTTCTAATCCTGATCGAAAGCAAAAGAAATTCTTCCGTAAGAGGTCTAATCGTTTCATAAAACTATAATTACACTTATCTAAATCATTATATTTCTTTATGATAATGTTTCGAAAATTGGAGCATACATAAGTAAACTCGAACTTTCAAGTATCGGATAAGCGATATAAAAATGACCTCTAAGTATATCTGCATTATATGACAAAAGCGAGACAATTACAGGAGTTACTTATTATCATGTATCGGAAATTGAACTAAGAATCACATCAACTTCAATTCTTGCGACGTTTCACGAAATGACACTTGATATGATAGTGATAATGATGGTGATAGTGAAAAGGAAATATAGAAAGATTTGCTTACCTCGGGACTGTGTGTTCTCAGTTCTCTGTTCCGTTAGGATGAAAGGTTCTTAACTTGTTTTCCACAAAATCGCAAAAGTGATTATACACAAAATTACATGGAAAAAATTAAAAATGAAACAATGTGACTAATAAATCTATCATCATCTAATCATCTACATGTACAATTTCACATGAATTTCTGCGATAATATTTTTGCGATCTATTCACAATTTCTATCAGAAGAGCTTCTAGAATTTATCGAATACCAGACGGCAACGATCGCAAGACTGAAATGAATTATTTACAAACACAGTCGAAGTACCATCGAAGGCATTGGATAAAATTTCGTTACGACCAATAAGGCCCGTAATATGCAAATATAACTACAGAATAGTGATATTACAAAGCTCGAAAAGTTCCGTAAATATAAGTATACATAAATTTATATATCTTTGCATGGTAAAATTATATATATATATATATTGAAATAAAATTAAATATGCAAGATTTAAGATTTTCAAAGATTGCAAAGTTGTTTTTTTTTACAATTATTTTCTGATAAATTGATATCAACATAATTAAATAATGGTAAAAATAATATTTTATTATAAGGCCGTCATTATATAATCACCCAAATATTTGCTATTAGGCAATTTTCGTAACACTATTAATCTTTGTGATATTAGTGCTATTATATTAATATTATTTAATATTAAATAAATTATATTATTCAAAATTATATAACATATATTATGAGAATCTAGCTTATCGTAACACATGATTGAAATGAAAAATTTATATTCAAGCGATATCTGGTGGTATCAAATGGTATTACAGTCACAACGTGACGTCGATAAAGTCCCGATGGGTAACATACGAAAACGTAGAAGTCGTTATAATTTCTAAATTATAAACAATTGAAATCGGTCACTGATATTTTGCTTATTTTGCTGTCTCACATTATAGATATTATATGCGCTATAGCAGTCAATTAATATCGACAAATAGATTATCGATGCTAAATTTATATGAGTGAATGTAATTCTTCGTACAAATTTAAATATGTTAGAATTTAAATGATTAATCACTCTATTGAAGACGAATTATTGAATACAACATTCATTTTAATAATAAAATTTACGAAAATATCCCGTTGCAAAAATCAATCAAGACAGAACAAAACGAGTAAGTCTATACGCGTTATGTGGTTGCAAAAATTTATGCGACAGCAGCATCTCAGATAGAACATAAAATCGTGATGAATATATTTTATTACTGATTATTAATGATTTGTCATGATACGGTACGCAAAACTTAATTCGAAATAATCAAAATGGTGATACTTACGAAATAACTTTTCGACTCGTACTGCCGCGCAACGATCCATTCTGTAACCTACCGCCAAATTTAAATTTGCGCTTTATGAGGTATATCGATATGGTCGACGCGCATACGCCATGTCTGGGCGCAAAACGTTCGCTTACGGATATTTAATGAAACACGTGCTTTGAATCGCGCGATTCCTTATGATATACAAAAGAGAAAAGAAGATATGTATATAAATAACTTATATAAACGATCTACTCAGAAATCTACTTACCTTCCCGAACGGGTTTATAAATATCTGAATGGCTTATCCAAGAAATGCAATATTAATTTTATTTATTAACTTACGTTTTATTATTTATTCAACATTTAATGTAATAACAATTTAACATAAAATTAACCGTCCAACAACTGATACGCAAATTCTCGCATCTTTGGCCGTCAATCTTTAATAACAATTCATCGGTATTAAAGCTCAAGAAAGATTTTAGAGTAGTGTAGAGGGGAAGGCGGCTCCTTTATTATGGCCTCCCCCCATTTACATTTAATACAATAACTATGTTAGTTGTTCGTTATATAACTATGTTAATAATCAATATTTTAAGTTGAATACGATTACATTCGTCAAAATATTGTTGGATCGATTCTATATTCAAAGTTATGAAATATTTATTATTTAGGACATTATTTATAAAAATGTGACGGCACTGCATGATAGATCAAAATGTAAATGTGGCCCCTCACGAAAATAAATTTAAAAAAATTGGTTTTGTTTAAAACGTACAGTGTTTTATTACAAATTTGTTCAAAATAAACTCTTAGGAGGAACAACGATGAATATAACCGCGAATTTTTAATGTAGATTTTTGACTTGCTTGTCAGAAGGATAAATACAAACTGTCAAAAAGACAATTACCACGAATAGATTTTTAAAGTTAAATTATTGAATTACCGAATAACTTCGACATAAAAACCTCGAAAATATTCGAGACTATATTAATCTCTTCAAGGATGAATTTTTAATTTTTGATTTATGATCTGCTCTAATGGAGTGCGCAAAAAACAAAGATACTTTATTTGCGAACCGATTTTGACATGTAGCCAACATGGCCTATTTTGATAACATTTAATTTTTAAATTTCAAAAATTTTTGTAATTATAAATAACGGTAATTTTTTAATAAAACTAAACGTACACATATGTGTCAATATCCCTGAAGAGGTTAAATTTATTTTAGAAGGGGGCTAAATTAACAAAATGCCATGTTATTATTTAACTTCGCATAACTCGAAATGCGTTTAGCAAAATAAAATGTTAAATATAAATGTTAAATATAAATATAAATGTTAAATATAAATATAAATGTTAAATGTTAAATAACGTATAAAACATTCAAATATATATATATCCGCGTGATGATGTACCAAACTTTAAGAAGAATGAGGAAGTATAAACAATTAACTATAATAAAATATACTAAATACTGTTAATATACTAAAATATACTTTGTAAACGTTTCTAAGTGCTCTAGTGCTCTAAAATAAAAATGGTTGATATTGTGTATTAGCATATTATTGCCTCTGTGTAATGGTGGACTACTAAACAAATAATTCCATAAGTAATCACTAGAATTCGTTACCTAATAGCAGAGGTAATAAAGGGAATTATATCTACAAGCACAAGCATGGCATAATAGACATCGCATCGGTCTGCTGCTACGTCAGAAGTTCTAGGTTCGATTCCCGGCAGAGTCAGAAAAATGTTCATGCGTTCGTAGCTCCTCTTCGGTGGTCTAGCAAACCACCAAGAGTACCACTATGCCAAGAAAACCTCTTTCCAAAAATTTGCAGTTCGAAACCGGCGTTTCAATTACTTCCCCCGTATGCATGTGTGTATAATCTGCGTGCGCACCACATGCATACATGAGAAAGAGAGGTAGGCCTAAATCCGATTTTGGGCTTGTATAGCGCCATTGATAATGATAATAATATCTACAAAAGCCATATAACTACTACTACTTCTCTTCTATAAGTCTAATAAATAGTTTCACAGAGAAAGCGAAAATAATCTTGAGATAATTATAATTAAGAACCTTGATGTGTTACGCAAAATATGGATAAATTAATTATATAATCAATTATATAAGAACATTATAAAATAAATAATACAATTATTATAATCTACACTATAAAATTATTGTTATATATATAATATATATAATTAATATTAATTATTTAATATATTATGAGTTGAAATTAATAATAATAATGAAAACAAGACATAATATCACAATACTTCTTCCTGTAAAAAATATAATGACGTGTATATACATATATTTTACAAATGTAATATCTTATAAGCATAATATATTATAAACAACTGATTAGGAACGCACATTACATAATACATATTGTATATATGTAGTGTTCCTATAACTCCTGCGAGGAGCATCGGGCCTCTCTTCCTATTATGCATGTATGCGTACGCAGATGCGTACGCAGATTATACACATGCATACGGAATCTACAGTTTAAATGGAAAATTTTTGGGGAAAGGTTTACGGTTTTATCATTGGTTTGTCAGACCACCGAAGAGAAGCTACGAGTGCATGAAAAATTTTCTGGTTCTACCGGGAATCGAGCCCGGGACTTTTATAGCATATCAGACCGGTGCGGATGTCTACCATGCCACGCTCGCGGTCACACAATACATATTACCGATATGTTTTTCAATTTTTTAAATGAATCGTCTCATCGAGCCTGTGCGTATGTGGTAAAGAAGAAGATTAATAAATGTTAAAATATAAATCTCTATGATAACGTTTAATGCAACAAATTTTATGTATTCCGATATAAAAAGTATCTATTGATGATAAATTCTTTTTATAGTAACTTTTATTTGAATGTGTGAACTTCGCTAATAAAATAATAATAATGATCCATCGGGTTACATTTCTTCAATTCTTTCAACACGTTCTATTTGTTACTTCATTATTTTCATTAATTCCAATAATTATTTGATGTCTCAAACAGTCAAAATCATTTCATTTTACTCGAAGTTTCATTTAATGTCGAAATTCCGTTCAAATTATTTGGAAATCTATTTATCTTTAAATCCGGAATCTCGTTCATTTCACATTCCGAATGTTCACTCCGAAGAAATCCTTTTATTATGTACAAAAGTTTGGTTTTTAAATTCGAATGTACCTTAACCCTTTTCGAATGACGTTGTATCATTATTGAATATTCGTACGCATAATTTGATGTCAGCTTTACAATGTGAGGTATCCAAATGCAGTACAGTGAAAAGCAGTGTAAAATGTAGACGTACGTGTTTAACACAGACTGATCGTACGGTGTGATGTACAGGCTAAATATACAGCGCGCAAATTCAAAGAGAGCAATCCTATTATCTCTATCAAATAACATGCCAATGCTGATGAGAGTAAGTACGTTTCCTAGTACCATATACATTGATATAGAATTGGAGAAATCCTGTCGAAAAAAACACAGATCAAGCATGTCAAAATGATTTAATGCGAAAGCGCTGTAACTCTAAAACGTTATTTGTGTGAATCAATCGTAGAATTGTTCGGAAAAGTTCCAGTTCCAAATTACTCTGTGTTTTCTCACTTATTTTCTATTCTGTCATAAATATACGAAAGGGCTGGACAGTTTTTGACATTTTGTAAACGAGTCGGTAAGTTCCGGTCGAAGTGGTTTGTAATTCCAGATAGCACAAATTTCTAAAAAAATGTCTTAATGGCATCAAAAAGACGTTTTCTATTATTTAAACAACTTATATATATATTTTACATATAGACGTCTTTAAGACGTCTTTCAGAAATTTGTGCTGTCTGCGATGAAAAATCTCAAGTCGTGAGAAGACGTTCGTTTCGTCGCTCTCAAAAGAAATAAGATCCACAATAAGACTAAAAATAGAAGATTCATGACGATGCAAATATACGGACAAAATGGAGATCGAAAACTTGCGCGTTTCCAGATTAATATTGTAAATAATCTCGTAAGTAGATAAGACAAGATGTAGTGTAAATATGTATGTATTAACTCAGATAACTAAATGATGCCAGAAGATGTCAATATGCCGTCCTCTGTCATTCAGCTATCTAAGTAGCAAGATAATTTCCTAATAAAATAAAAAATGAGTCACATGGCATTGAACTCACCATAAGGTGTAGTCGATAATGATAGATGATAACCGAGGCAAAGTGCAAGAAGACATATAGGACTTGCCATGTAGGTATGTAAGGATCATACGCATATCTAGGCGTCACCTGTAAACCGAAAGAGTGATTTTTTAACGTTATAACTTAAGTTAAACTTTTTTTTAACTTGCACCTCGCGTTATTTACAGTAACGTTTGATTTATGCTCGCAATTGAGCAAAATAAGATAACGTGACGCGCACATTCGTGTATTCTTGGCATCTTCTTTGTTATCTTACGTAAGTCTTGTACTGATCTAAGCCCAAACGTGGTGCACCTGGATACCAGCTTGGTCCCTTCCAAAAAGTGCCGATCTTATTCCACCAGCTGTGCATGGTTGCGCTCTTTTGGAATATTGCCTTTAAATAATATATCTGCATCAAGAAGGAAACATTATTACAAAAAGCTCGATTCTAAAATCGCTCAGCTCTCTCACGTACACATTTTATTTTCATCTCACTATTATTTCTACTTCTGAAAATCTCATCTGATTCTCTTCGATTCTTTATTTATCGGTGAATTATATCACTTGTAAAAAGAATAGAAAGTTTCATTTGTATAAATTTATAAAAAAAAGAAACAGACGCGATCGATACGCATTCGAGATGTGCGGATAACAATTTAAAATCGCACCTTACAACTTCTACCACATATAAAACGAGCACGTTATTATTAATTTTTTTTAGTAACTCTGAGTACATTTGATATCTGTGCGAAATATGATATCCAAAGATGATTTTACCTGCAGATAGAGTGGGTTAAACGACCTAGAATTAACTACTAGGCCATAAACGATTTTATCCTGCTCCTCTTGAAACGTGCCGAACAATCGATCCCATATAATTAACACGCCGCCGTAATTCTTGTCCAAACAATAAAGATTGCAACCTACAAACGTAGAAAGGAGCGTCCGTAATATACGTCGTGATATACGCGTTACGTTTGCGACATACCATGATGAACGCGATGATGCTTGGCTGTGTTAAAAAACCAATCAAACGGTTTGATGTCATCAATTAATGTCGTATGTAGACACAGTTGATATATCAAATTGAACTGTTTGTGAGTAATGAAGTGGGACGGAGGTATGAATACAGTGAGGGGCACATAAAATATCTGCAACATGAATCACGTGGTTACACTGTCAATAAATCTTTTGAATTGCCAATATTAAACGCACAATTTTGTAAAGTACTAAAGCAGGTACTTCAGCGGTCGTTGTAATGTCATTGAATGTTTACTTCATATTCGGAGAAAGAATTGGCCAAAGCCATTTAGAAGCTAAAATCTAGTTGTGGCAGCTAAAATAAGGGAAGCTAATGTCGTAGAGATAAAATGTATTTGTTGCAAAGTGCAACTATATTGTTCGCCGTGACGCCTTAATTCGAACAGCTAACAAATTTAACTGTAGTAGCAACGACAATTAGCTGTCCTCATTATAGCTCCTCTGGCTGATTCTTTCTCTGAATGTATCGAATTTAACAGCTTTGGCAGCTTTCTTTTCTTTTATGATACTTCGGCCTTTTAATTTACTTATTTAAAACAGAGATGTTTGATTTTGATTTTACATTGTTCTTATTTCAATTCTGAAAATATAAGAAATATAACTATAAAATTCAAGACAATTGTCTTCTTTGTAGATTGAAAGTCTATGTTGACATTTCCTATTAATCCTTCTTGCATCGTCCGCAAATAATATAGAGCAACATGATAACGATGATACTCACAAAGTTGCACCAGGTTTGCAAAACAGATTGCCGCAAGCCGACCGCAAGACTAAACTCTTCGCTGCTGTGATGTACTTGATGGAAGACCCAAAAGAAAGTAATTTCTGCAAGTAAACAATTAGTGTCTTTAATTAGAGCGAAGGGTAAATAGAAGACACCACCATTCGTGCCGCAAACTTAAACCGAACCGTGGTTGCAACGGTGAGCCCAATAATAACAAAATTCCACGCTCAAGGCGGCGATAATCCACGTCGATAGTGCGTTCCAGGGTAAATCCCATAAATGAAACTTATTATACAATTGAATATATAAATAATATTCAGCACCGCGCGAAAAAAATCTGAAAAAGCCAACATTGACAGCTTTCATTAATTGGCTATAAAAACGATACTTCGAAAATAACGTGATACAAAATAATAAGTAAACAAGCATAAGATATAAATGGATAAAGGACTTCTATCGATACGTAAATATATATGTAGAATATTTAAAACTTTTTAATATAACATACCTATACAATATCTATCCGATAGGTTGAAGAGTGGAAAATATTTGTTGCGTTAAATATTGTTGTATTAAATAAAGTTGGAAACAAAGTTATCTCATTTTGAAATATTTTTATGAATAAAATTTTAAAAAATCGATTCTCTGTTTAATTTTTTTCAAGCATCTAACAAGATTTTTTGTTTCTTTTTACAATTTAAATCAGTAATTTTCAATAAATCAGAATCAAATAGAGAAAGTGTAAATCTCTCTCTCTCTCTCTCTTTTCGTATCGATGAATGTTTTAAGATTTATATCACGCCTGTTTTTTATTGTTTCAGATCTCTGATGATCGTTTTAAACTGTTCTGTACAGTCGATATATCATTATCTATGCTTACCGTACGGTTTCATCGAATATCCAGTGAGACAGTGATGTCACTTGTTCATTCCAACGAACCTTCTTATTCTTTATATACAGTATTATCTGCTCCGCAATCAATAATACAAAAAACGGCAACCATATCTGAAAGCATCATTAACTTTTGTACATACAGAAGGTCAAACATGCTGGCGCTTCACATCAACCATTCGTGCCACGCTCGAAACAGGCCCGGGGACAAAAATAGCACGCGTACGACTTGTTAACGATTCGTGCAACTAGACGTATTCGTAACAACGTACCAGTGAATACGATCGATGATTCTACGTTCATTTTAAAAGAAATAGAAGCGATTAAATAACTTTCGCGTGATCGAATAATAAAATTCACGATTTTGTGCTCAAAGAATATTGGGATCGTCCAATACTCTTGTGATTTCTCTGATGGTTGAAAATTCAAGAAACTAATGTTGATCTTTTCTTTCCAATTACTAATTATTTACCTATTAATTCATTTAACGAGTAATGATTTCAATAACAAAAAAGAATGTAGTCAAGAACAAAGTATGCAAAACATACACAAATATTATATTAAAGATTTCTGATAAGGATACGTTCAACAGCATTATAACAATTTAGCATTGTAGATTAACGTTTTATGTAATTTCGCATATATTACAAAATGATATAAATTCCATATTATATCAAAGATACAAATGTTCAAAATAAATCCAATTTAAAATAACTTTCAAACAAAATCGAGCGTCCCTTGTTATTTCTAGAGCGAATATAATATAATATTTTTTTCAAGCCAGTAAAAGAAATGAGGGATGCAAAAGGTATTCAGGTATTCAGGAATTAGAAAAATAATTGTAAGAGATTGTACGACAAAATCATATATTCCGTTAGCGCAATCAATATAAGAGAGACTCGATCTGTACAAGAACGGACGGAAGAAGAAAACTTCACGAAGGAAACTTCAAGAGGCAAGCAAGTATCAATTACTGATAATTTCACGAGTTACTTATCAGATATAACTCAATACAAGCAATGTGACTGTCTTGTTAAGTAAGTTCTTGTTGACGAAAAGATATTTTCACGAGCGAGCTTTCTTCCTGAGGAAAAATGATTATATATGATTATATATGATTATATATGATTATATATAATTATATAAAATCATATATGAATTTTGCCCAAATATGTGGTTACATATATGAATGATCATATATATGTTTATATAGCATAGTAGTCTATATGCTATATATGTCTATATAGCAAAATTATGTTTGTCACTTAATCAAATGCCGATATCATGTACTGTCAGAAGCACAAGTAGCCAAAAGCATTTATTTCGATCGTATTTGCATATAATTTGTAAACTACAATATTTTTTCATGGACATATAAGTCACATGATTATATAAGTCATAATTTCATGTATGATATTTTTTCCCGGGTCCTAATTTTACTTCTTTCGGACTAATTTTACTTCTTTCTTACCTCCTTCCAATAATTCGGCACTTCTTCCGCGTTCTTGTAGGATGTCTCCTCGGGGTTAATAATATAAAAAAGCTTTCCTGTGCTTTGCAGAAATTGGTGAGAGGCTTCCTCGAATGTCACATTCATCTTATACACTCATCGATTATGCTTAAGTTATCTGAAAACTGACGACATATAAATAAAATAGAAATCCGGCGAAACAACGGCAAATGAAATTGTAGACCTCACGGACGCGTATCTCCTTAATCGTATAAACTAACGTTCCGGACGAAACTACGCGCCGGTTTGGTTGCGTGCGACGTGTGCGCGACGTTTAATACGAGTTGAAGCTAAACGAACAGCCTAATGACGAGTCGTCGGTGAGTAGACCAATGAAGAAAACAAATATTATTCAGCGAGAACGTAAACACGAGCCGAGCGTCCCGCGGATGCATTTGCGCGACATGCAGCTCCACCTCTCGCCTAAGGCGACTGTTTTGACGGCGTTGATTCATCGAAATTCACTGGATTAATCGTTTCACTTATCGATAATCGCATTGAATAATCTCCCGTCCCCCTCTCCCCATCCCTTTTCTATTCGCAACAAAAACTGTCCAAGGTCAAGAATTAGGTCTGCACTCTTTTTGCTGAACTGGCTGCACAAATTTGTACTAGTTCTTTCTCCTCTTTCTTCCTTAATAAACTTCTTAAACTTCTTAAATAACTTAATAAATCTTAACTGTATATCCAACTCGTTTTAAGTTCTATAAATGTACGCTAATTCAGCAGAAGAAAAAACAGACCTGTTGTTTCAAGGTTTGTTATTACACGATAAGAACCGTTCCGTTAGTGCAACTAAATGTTCCGTTGCCTGGAAATAATGGGAATCAGACAGAAAACTCGGTTGTAGGAATAGTTGCGAGATTCTTAGCAGAACAAGATTTTCGTAGCAGAATTCTGTTTAACCAACTGTTATTAGTTACCTTGACCGAATGATTTAACACAGCTAAATGTTCAGAGAATGTTTTCGGTCGCATGAACAGATATATCATTTCTCATCACCGAATTTTCATCTGATTTATGTTCAGTTACACAAGCAGAATTTTTTCTCCGCGTAATTGTAGAGATACGCGTAAAGGAGGGGGAATGCCGGGAGAGGAGGGGGTGATGAAGAATACGATAACGTGTCAATTCACAAACGTGTCTCGAGGAACTCCGTTTCTGCAATAGATTACGGATCAGATGGAAATTCAATGACAAGAAATGAAAATTCGGTGACAAGAAATGATATCTCTGTTACTGCGACCGAGAACGTTCATTTGAACATTCAGCTGCGTTCAAACTCGATTGAGACAATTGAGAACAATCGACTGAATAGTGACCTCCTATAGGAATCTTCCTAAAATCGAATTTTCATCCGGTCTTCGGCAACGGAAAATTCAGTTACACCAACGGAATTGTTTTCTCCATATATTCTCTTTCATCGAGTACGTGACGCATCGGCTAACCAACAATAACAAGTTGTCTAAATTAGTATACTTTCCGCAATCGCTGTACGATGATAAGGAAACCATATCAGAAGGCCGTCGGCGTAGATAAGATAGTTGAGAAGATATGTCGAATTAGGAAGCTCATTACTCGAGCAAATCGTCACCGCGTAGTTGATCGAATCAGGATCAATTGTCAATTGTCAATTGCGACACACGACACACTTTTCGCACAGACGCGTAATATTGAGATACAACGAGAGGAAACCGCGATCGTGTACGTTGGAGTAGTCGTACAATCGTCGCATTCCTCTCCCTCCATTTAACTGCGAGAGATAACAGATTTTTCAGAGCGTTCGCGTTTTTTCTCTTCTTTTTGCGCGCGCTTCGCAAATCGTCGAGCGAGACCCGACGATTCGTTTCACAATCGTCAATGCGAACTGAAAGAACGTCGTATGTGATGAAAAACTTTCCTGCTGAATAAACCAGTGAGTCGAAGCGTGAATAGGAGAAACAATCGTTCGCGATCGCTGAACCATTTATTTGAGAGGGCGATTTTATAATAACAATTGATAATTCGTTTACGTTTCGTGTGTCCGATTGTTTTTGATAATAATTGAAACAAAGAAATGAAAAACGCGAGAGGGGGAATATGTAGAGGTATGTATGGTAATTATAAGGTCAATTGTAGATTTATTAAATTAAGGCTAATTTCGTCTTGCGCACTACTGAAAGCGCCGTTCTACTTTTATTTTTCATTACATGATGAAAGAAGACAGAACGATGCTTTTCAGCGAACGCGTGCAAGATAAAGCTTTTGTATATGATCAGTAATAAAAAGGTTACAGCACTCTTTCTTTTTTTTTTGTAAATTTCGGACCGCATCCCGTGTCTAATAAGAGAATTTGTTTTTTAGTCATTCTCAACCGAAACAGCATACGATATCCCATGGACATTCTGTGGACGTTCTGTGAACATTGGAACGTTTTCAGCACATCCTCAGGATGTCCCTAAGAGATTTGTGCTGTTTGGGAGGAGATACATTTTTCTATTGAATACGAACCGCGTTGCGAAGCTCATAAAAAAAGTGATTTAATAAAAAGTGATTAATAAAATAAGATAGTTTTCGCCAGAATTCATTTTATAATTTTTATCTGCCTAAAATGAACAAATCATGCAAATCAGTTAAAATAATAAGTTTGTTAATTACAATCAGAGACAAAATAAAAAAGTTGATATAAAATACGATTTTGTAAACTATACCTTGTACAACAAAAATAATATAGTTTAGGATATTCTCGAGAAAAAGTTTGCCATATATAATTAGATATAATTATATATAATTATATATAATTATGTATAATGATATATATATATATATATATATATATATAGTAGTAATATAAAAAATGGTTACGACTCGGGAGACAATTTTTCATATATAATTGTATTTGTAGAATAAATCCATATATATATATCGTATTTTATATCATTATTATATAAGATATAATTATATATATAGATATAATTATATATATAGATATAATTATATATAATTATATCTATATATATATCTGGATTTATTCTACATATATAATTATATATGAAAAATTTTCTCCCGAGTCGTAACCATTTTCTATATTATTATTATTCAACTTTTATCGTTATGTTATCTTACATAATGCATTACCTGAAGATAAAGATTACTCATACTACATGAAAAACAAAGATCTCATAGCACAGACTTTCAAACTACACTTCCAAACTACACTTTAGGATAATAGTAGATGTACTAAACTCATCAAACGCTTCTAAACGGGCTGCCTGGCGCCATCTAATGATGTCCTTTATACTCGAAAATCACCAGTACGAGCTGCCACCACCCGTAACGAAAAGTGAAGATATCGTAGTATAACTCAACGATAGGCTCCCCTTTTTGTATCTTTGAGTGATATGACTCAACGATGAATCAAAGATATTTTATTTTTAAGTATTATGATTCAACAACAAAAACAGAAATAGCTATTTTATTTTTTATGTATTATCTATGTACACAAACCGACAAAGTAACTTTAACACTTGTTAGATTTAGGTCTATTAGAATTTTTCTAATGTATTTTGTTTACATATTCGTGAATTTCATGACTGTAGATTGTACAAAAAGAAGGGGAAATATCTCATAAATTATTTCTCCTTTTATATGTGATTTTACATTTTACATTACAAGTGCTACTTTATTTTTCTTTGTAAAAGTTTTTTTATGTCGGAAGCATCAGTAACTGTTTTATTGCAGATTTTTTGTAAATAAAGACTTTTGAAGAAATAGTAAACATTTTTGGGCCCAGCATACAAAAATTTATTACAAATTATATTTGATTTTGCTGAAACTCCACTTAGAATGTATACATTCATTTTTTTATGCAACATATCCACTATTTTATCTAATTTCTGGAGAATTGTAGTGAATATAGCGCAATTTAAAATCTATGTTTGGCAACATTGGTTCAACCTTTGTTCATTTCTAACGCTATTTAGGATCCAATTGGTTTTATTGGTATATAAGTTATTTAGGATCAAGTTGGATTATTGGTTCAACCCTTGTTCATTTCTAACGCAATTTACGACTCATTATAAATTATAAATTAATACTTATAAGTTATAAACGAAAAGTTATTCCTATGTTTACTCTATGCGATGAATAATACGTATAAATATTTGTTTCAGATTATTTCTGAAAATGAAAACACAAAAAATGAGATGAATAAGCCTTAAATTAGTTACGACTAGGACAGGGAAAAATTTCAGCATAACTGCAAAAATATTTCTTCGAAGAAAGTTAAAAATGATATGAAAGTGATGATTAAAATAAACAAAAGAAAAATGAAGGTTTGATTTAATCCCATACAGCGTAGATATTTAAAGACGTCCTGAAGACATTCAGAGAACGTCCTATATCCTAAGGACATCCCTACATTTAAAAAAATTGGATAAAGTAGGCTATATGGGATATTTTAAATAGTGAATTTTTCACAATCTTTCTTTCATCCTTCCATATATAGATGTGTGTGTGTGTGTGTGCGTGTGCACGCGCGCGCGCGCGCGTGTGTGTGTGTGTGATAAATAAAATTATAAAAGACTTCGATCGGCCAAATTCCATAAATATCTAAAAGAAAATAAGCACTTGGGATTTAAGATATTGGATGATGAAAAATGACTACTATTTGTAATGATTGATAAAAGTTAATGATTTCTGTATTATTCGTTGTTATTTCACTATAAGCAAGTGCTCGTAATTATTTCTAAGAAGATAAAAATATTCTTACCTATTTGCTATTTTATTTTGAAATATAAATTGCTCCCTTAAATAAGTACGTTGCAAAAAAAAATGTTACTGTCAAAAGATCAATCCATTCGGATAAAATCAAAGAGAACTAGAGGTGGAAGAGAAAAATAAGAAAGTAATGTATTACAATAGTCAAGTTTCAATCTTCGTGAATCAAGAGCTTTATCAGTTGCAGGAATTAAATCACATATGAAAAACAAGAAAATGTCGGGATACAATCTGTGAAGAAAAGGAAAAAGACTCAACAAACAAGTTGCGGAGAAGGAGAACGAAGAAGAGGAGTAAGAAGTTTTGAGTAAAGAAGACGAAAACAGTGATATGGGGAAATCCTGACGATGAGTGAACGGAGCAAACTGAGAAGTAGGGAAATGAGGATGCTCGAGAAGGATATTGTGAATGAGGACTTGGAAGAGAACACGGACATTGCTCGAGATATAAATAGTAATGATCGGGGTTGAAGATGCACCCGTAAATCTCCTCTGGAGATGATAGTATAAGAGAACGAATATAATATATACACGTATATTCATTCGATGCCAAGTGACACACCGCGATGAATCTCTGCCGTTGTCCTTGCGTTTGACGCGTAATAATTGTGCGAAAATTCGTGCATGTGTTTCCGCGTGCCGCGTCTCATTCATTTCCGCTACTTCGTTTCCGGCTGATCCCGACCGGAAACGAAGGCAGCAGACGGTGGGACGCTTCAAACGATACTTGTATCCTCGATTCGGTGTCTTCCAGGTGAGCCTGTCGCGCGCGCGCGACGAGATGGTACACGGTGATCGCTGTACTTCTATTATCACGAAGCACGACGGCCGTCGTGGCGGGCGCGCGGCGAGTCTTGAGGTGTCGCTTTCCGATGGTCTATTTTTACCGAAAGGCGTCCCAAGCCAGTCGGCAAGCAGGCGGTATAGCGACGGTTGGGCGCTATTATAAAGCATCGTGTGCCGGCCGCGTTGTAATTCATCGCATTAAGTGCGGAAGACCCCACCGGGGCTCCCGACGATCTCGCTGAGGAGCAGGAACCGCGAGGCAATCGTGTTCTCACGACTGTAGTACCTGTGGAAGCTGCGGGAAGGCTGTCGAGGTTTGTGAAGCATCGCGGAAAAGTGACACTTCTTTCGACCGACCAGGCGTCGCTTTGCGGCGGGTTTCTCGCGGAAGCTTCGTTCACGTATGTAGCCGCTACGCCGCGATATCGACAGGCGCAATCGGCGGCCGGTGACCTCTCTTCTTTTGAATAGAGAGAGAGAGAGAGAGAGAGAGAAGTGATTTCGCACTGGAGCCGCGGGACCAGCGGCTCCAGTATGAAAAGACCTCACTCTAATCTGAGCGACGACGATTCGCGGCGATCCGCTCGATATAAAAATAAGCTCTCTCTCTCCTTGCCTCTTTCTCTCATTCGTTCTCTTCTCTCCCTGCCCGTCTCTGTCCTATCAATGAAGCAGCCCGTTGTCTGCCGAGCGTCGCGGCGGCGGTGGCAACGGCGACGGTGACTCTACCTTCTGTTTCGCTACCTCTCGTGCGGTGTCCGGACTGCCGGTGCGTGCCAGCGAACGTTTTGCAAGATGCGAGATTCGCCTCTCGCGACGAGGGAGCCCTCGTCGTGAGCGCCGGACGGACTCTGACCACTCCGGCGTAGTGTGTAGGCCGGGGCGCGCATTACGTAAAGCACGGGGAAAATAAATTGCGGGGAAAGAAGGAAAACAAAGTGTAGGCGAAGTGGAGGCGAAGGGAGACGACCACCTTCTCTGTGTGTGCACACGTCACGATGAAGAGAGCTTCGTTTGATAAGTAAAATCTCTGTTCGCAGTGTGTTCGCCTGAGAGAAAGAGAGAATGAGGGTGAGAGAGGGAGAGAGAGAGAGAGAGAGAGTACGAGCTGATACATCGCGCTTCTTCTTTTACTTCCGTTACGTCGCGTTATCGTTCGGAGAAGGCGATTTTTCCAGGAGTGCGCGAAGAACGTAGAGTTTCCTCCGTCGTCGTGTTCAACAGCGCAGCCGTTTCCGTGACTGACCGGATGTCGCGTTTTAAAGATATGACGTTCATTGTACTCGCGGTGACTTATCGTAAGATGAAGATATATCGTCGCGGGTTCGGTATTGTGAAGGAATACACGCACGAGACGCACGTTCTAAAAAATGCCAATGTTGTCGATGTTGACATATTCGTTTCCCTTCAGTAGAAATCGTACTTGAAGTCTGCGCGTTTGAATAATTCGAGTAACATCGCGGTCGAACAATGGAAGAATACTGTGTCAGAAAGGAGGCTCACCTTGAGCTTTTAATTACCGGCATAATCGGACATGCGGCTGCGGTTTTACTGTCAATTAATAGTTCACCTCCAAGTGCTTCGCATTAATTCGGTTGGAAAAAACTGTCCAAAACCACCGTACTCTTCATAGGTCACCGCAGCGATTAGCGCGATAGGCGTGAATCGTTTTAAAATTTTTAATTGAATTATCACGACGAACGAAATGTACTGACGTGAAAGCTTCACTTTCGACTTCGTCGGAATCTCGGCCCGCCGAAGTGACGAGCTCGGGTCGACTTGACCGACTTCGTACCTCTCGCAAACTACCACCAAACAATCTATTTAAAGCGAAGTATCGATTCCATTGCGTGGCTTGAATCGCGCTCGAAACGAGCCGCGTCTTATTACTTTCCCGCGGAAGAAAATCGTAAGTCCAAACTTCGCGGAGGCGCGCGCATGTGATTGTTAGCTAACACGATTGAGTCAACGCCGATCGAATGCCTCTTCCGTGTCGGTATTGTTATATTTTGTAACCTGGAAGAGGGAAGACTCAATTTCCGCGTTTCTCCGATTTTCGAATACAAAAACATCAGAATTCATGCGAACGTCTCAGAATTGAAGTCCTTTGAGCTCGAGCGTAGATTTTATTTTTTCAATTACCAAGTTTTAATCGGTGCACTTCATTCTGAAATGTTTCCGCAAATGAAAAGCGAGAAGTCGAATATCCGCGACGATACGAGGAATCGAATGTTATTTATCAATTTGAAATATCTCGAAATATACAGAGAATTTGGTCGTCGCTCGTAACACGTAGTCACACGACGTCTGATAAATCGCATCGCGGATCGAAGCGCGCGACTAACGTCACGAAGAGCGCGTCGCATTGTTACGTATCGGCGATTTTTCAGGCGCGACGCTGAATAAATACGGCGCTGATCGTGCGCCCCGAGCACAACCGCTCTCTCGGACTGTTACTGCGTATTACGTTACAACAGATAAATTTAGCATTTCTTTTACACGGTGCTCGTTGTACCACTGCCAATACCGTGGCGCGGAATTAATTGGCCGCTTGGAAGGTAACCAATTCTTGCCGTCGAAAGAGCTATGCCGGGCTCAATAGCACGCCGGGGCGGGTCCTCCGGGTTTCACCTTTGTAACGCAAGGCCGGTCGAGTTCCCTCGTCGCCGAGGGAATCGAAGGTCGGCTGACAACGCGGCGATTTCCGACGGTAAACATATTTACACCGTCGGGACGGCAGGATTCCGTCATTCGCGGCGGAATCGACGCTGAAACGGCGTAATGCGCCACGATAATTGGAGACGCGAATCGGAATTGTTGTGATTCCGCTGGATCCAACCGCCCGTATCTACGTGACGCGTTCGAGGCCGAGGAAACACCCTGTATATTAATATTCGCGCCGCGTCGCATCGCGTCAAATCTCGTGGAGTTCGCGTAAATGGAGGAGATCCGCGCGAGAAGGTATACTTTTCAAGACTGTTACGGCCACGAACTAGCGACAAATCATTTCTTATAACATTAATATACTTGCGTATTTATTATATTAATGTAGTATGTTTTATATCATTAGGCGTGTGCGAATTTTTAGTCTTTCTTCGCAAGTTCTCACTTTATTTTCATATAGTCAAAAAAGAGTAAATCCTTTGCACACTCCTAATAATCTCAGTCTCAGTAAACACTAATTAACAGTAGCGTTACATCAATATTATAATTTCCCACTCTTTCAACAATATAAGTATAATATAACGTATGTTGTACGTAACAGTTACATTGCTGAGTGAGAAATTATAATATTGATATAACGTTGTTGTTAGTTGGTATTTTAGTCGAGGCGTATTTCCAATAAGCAAGAAACATTAAATCAACCTTTCGAAACACTGATTTTATGTAGATTTTATAAACACTTTAATATAATATTCTATAAATGCGTTTAAACTGTCACTTGATAACATATATGCAATATTCCTTTTAATATTAGAAACTAGAAATATTATTTTTAATATTTGATCAAATATATTATTAACAATGACGTTGTATGCAACATTAAGAATTACATATTTGAAAACGTTACATGTTATAAAACGTCATTGTAATAACGTTGTGTTAATGATTACTTGCTTACTGGGTTTCATATTATATTAACAAATTATACTAATATGGCATATATATTTATTTGATTACGTTAATATGTGCATCACATGTTTATACGTTTATCATAAAATTCAGATCAGTATCGAGGTTTATTCGAGGCCGCTGCAGCTTAAAACGCATTTGAAAGTGTGCGCCTTCTCGCGCGACCCGCAGTCGCGGCTTCCGTCGTGTTGTATTTCCTCTTCACGCTGACGGAGAGTGAATTCGCATCGCGCGAACGTTTCGAATGTCCGCAGGTACGCCAACGGCAAGCGCAACGTTCTGAGCAACGCGTCGTACGGGCTCGCGTGCACCAAGGATGTCGAGTACAAACGCGGCAGCGTGAACTACAGCTCCCTGCAGCAGGAGAGGACTTATCTGCAGCGCAGCGTGTCCGCGGACAATGTTGTAATACGCTCGCGCGGTTTCAAGCCCTCCGACAGACACGACCCGATCAAAAGGAACTTCCTCGAGAATCTCACGTCAAGGATACTACACTTCGATATGGTGAGCATCCGTAGATCTCGATTTCGTTCACGCGTCCAGGTAGAACAGGAAATCACATCAAAATGACGAGAAAATGATGAATGACTACAATAATTCACTTTTCGATCATGATTCTCGATCACTTTCTCATCATTTTGGTATCATCTTCACGTTATCGCGATTTTCTACTTCTTCTTCTATATCTTATCTTAAGGGTATCTTCTTCTCTTCCTTTTCGCGCGAGTGAGGTGTCTGAAATTTCTCTCTCGCTCGAACTCACGACTTGCGATTTCTGTTGCAGGAGAGCGGCGAGACTACCCCGATCAACCTGCAGAAGCTGCTCACTCCGGCGTCGGACTCCCACGAGATGCTGCATTCGAAGAACAGTAAGCGTCGTTGTCGAGATAACCGGAAGTAGTGATATCTTGCGTGTTCAGAGTATGCTCCGGGGAATCTTCCGCGGACGGCCGAGTGTCGCTCCGTTTTTGCATTGATAAATGACTTCCAAGTAGCTCAGTAGTTTCAGTATTAAATGCAGCATTGATATCGACTTGGAGGCTGCTTCCGCGTCAAGAGAGATTGAATGCGTGGGGGTGTGAATTTTCAGGAAAAATGTTCGCGTCCTCGTACTTCTACGCGCCGACGCATCCTACGGTCGAGGACCAGGTCGAACTAGCACGTAGGATCTCGCATTCGCTGAGCGACGTGAAGAACGTGAAGAGCAAAGGGCAGAGTATGTACGTGAACAGGAAGAAACGATCCGTCAAATGGATCCACGACGGCAACGGTGAGCGCTGAAATCTGTTTGAATCTTTTAACACGCTGCGCACAACTCGTCCCGTTCTCGTCCTACGCAGAGAAAAATATTACTTATACTACAAATATAAGCTAATAATGATTCTTATTTATTTTTATATTTTTCTTCTATTTATTTCTATTTATTTATTTGTCTTCCTTTAAATAATATTTATTTAAAAATAAGGTTTATTTTTCTTCCTTTAAATAATAGTTATCTTGAACAAAAATTATTTTTTTCTTGATAATAGTATTAAAATTTAAAATGTTACATATACTCATCACAAATATTAGAAAGGTTCATTATCATTTACTCAAAAAAAGAATTTTTACTCTTCAAAAATATTATAAACTTTATCGAAAAAAAGTTCGGTTAATTGAAATAAGTAAATCGAAATTTTGGTTTTAATGTTTTAATATTCTTAAGTGAAGTACTAAATTTATTAGGATTCAGAATATATTTGGAATAAATTTGATGCTTATGATACACTAACAAATATAGAAACGTAAAACAAGTAATATCTGACAAGTTTTCGTCTAGTCTTGGTTTCGATATACGGATGATAGGCGACGGATCGTCGACAACTAAATCGCGATAAGCACGCCGCTCTTTTTCCCTTGATGGACGTAGATTAGCCCTGCCGCCGACTACCCAACCCATACAGTACAGACCTCCAAGGGATGTCCTAAAGACGTCCGGATGACGTTCTATGTCCCAAAATGTCCACAGGATGTTCCTCGGATAAAATGTGCTGTGTTGGAGATAACAAACCCAAATAGCACAGAGAGTTCAAAAAGAATTCACTATTATCTAACAAAATATCATCTAATAAAAAGATCGAATGGAAAAGTTATTCAATATGTTTGAAAACTTAGTTAATACTTGCGAATCGCTGCGCGACGCTTTGTTTTTGCATAGATAGTATCGGATATAATATTTCGCAGGCGTCGAAGACGAAGAAGAATCAACCATGCCGGCTCACAAGGTAAATAATGCGACCTCGTATGTGAATAGTTTCTCTCTTTCTCTCTTCTTAATCTTTTACGACGCCGGTGCGATGAGGAAACTTCTCTCGACAGGATAAACTGCCTCTCAAGTGCGTGATGAATCCGTGCGGGAAGGTGCTAGATATCCACGGTATTCAGGCGTTAGGCGAGGAGGTGAACATCGCGCCGGTGCCGAAGAATCCCGAGAAGCTTTTCGACATCGTTCGCGACTTGAACAATCAGAGAGGACGCGGTAAGCGTATCGCGTCGTGCCGACAAAGTCCGCGAAGCCTATGCGTCGCCATGCACAGCTGACATCGCCAAAACAATTCACAGGTGCCGAGATTTTTGCGAAGCGCAGGAAAAGGTCGGAAAAGTGGGTGGTGGATCAAGAACAGCAGCAGACGCCGAGCACACCCGCCACTCCCGCCACGCCGAAAACGCCAGCGTATCCGGAGAAACTGGTGAATCGCAGAGCTACTTCCAATAAAGATGTGATTAATTAGTCCGAGCTAAAAGCTATTCGCTACAATGAGAAAAAATATTTGATTTCTTTGGGTTTAATAAAATTTCGTTAATTGAAACAAATTTTACTCTTGGAATGGAGCGAACAAACGAGTATTTGATTCAACAAATAGGATTGTTTAGTTTCTCAAACAATAAATATCTCTCTTCACGTCAAATAACATATTTCTTTTATATTTTCATTATATTTTCATTTTAACTATAATTCGAAATTCGATCGATCATTTACATAGAGGAAAATTTCTTTGGATTTAGTATACGTGTTTGTTTAATGTAAACAACATAATTTAATATCAAATATTATTTTGTTTAAATGAAAACATTGTTATTTCACTAAAGTAAATTATGTTTGACAGGAAAAAACAATATTATTCATTTCATTATATATTGTTCCACTGAAATACAAGGAAGTTCTTTAATATTTTTCTAATATAGTGTTACTTCTTTCAAATACTTTATTATTTGTGACAACTATTGTAATGTTTGAACGAAAATATAAAAAAAAAATATATTATTTGACATAAAGAGAGATATTTATTATTTGAGAAACTAAATAAACCTATTTGTTGAATCAAATACTCGTTTGTTTGTTCCATTTCAAAAATCAAATTTGTTTCGATTAAAAAAATGTTATTAAATCAAAAAAATCTCTTTCTCTGTGTAGAGTAGAAGAATTGTCAAATANTCTATAGTATCAGTGGTCTTACTTGAATACTGTACTATTACTATTTTATAATTTAAATTTAAATCTATAGAAAGGATATATTTGAGACCGAAGATAACTATAAAATTTTTTTAAATGTGGTGCACACTATGTTAAACTTTTTAGCTCGTTATTAATTCGTTACTGACTGATTATTCACTAAAATGTAGAATTAGTTTTGTAATCTAACCGTTGTTTCGCCATTACATATCAAATACGATAGAATTGATGGTATTTATTATAAAATATATAATCTAACTGCTATATATACTCGCTTAATGGCATTTAAAAATGAGGGGGCAAGTTTGAGGGAGCAAAATTAAGGATACATTATTCTATAAAAATCTTAAAATAGCAAAAATGATATTATGACATTATACTTATATTATCTGGCAACTAATTATGATCTTTCATCTCATAATTGTAATTTCTTTCGTTTAACCGTCAGCTGGCTTATTTATCTAGCCATTAGAAGAAGTGAGCGTTACATTACTGGCTAGTAGCGATGTTAGAAACAAATTAATTACCTCTCGATCAGACACCCCCGAGGTTCAATTTCCGCTCTATGTATCGGCGACTTTAAACCTTCACGGATCCACCCAATGACGAGCTAAGGAATAATAACCACATTGTGCTTCCAGGAAATCAACGGTAACGCCAAGTTCATGACGCCGACGTCGTTGACGCCTCGCACGCCAGCTCCGGCTATCGACAAGCCGTTCTACAATCCTTTCACCGTGGACATCTCCCTCGACAACGCGAATGTACCTATAACAACAGGTGCGTACAACGTAAACACGATGTATAAGCGGCGAAATAATAGCGCTCCCGGCTGCAAGGTGATTTCACTTGGCACTTTCAGTTGGCAAATAACGGCGCGCTCTTCCTTTCCACCGAGTTATCCGAAATCCTCTCGAAATTACGCACCGACATCAATGTCGCCAAAATCTTCCGAAAGCCGCGGTCAGAATTTATTAACGTCAACCGATACTGCGTGTCTCACCGGCGGCGCGTTTGTATCCGCGAGTAACAGCCGACGTTTCTTTTCTCGAGCAATTCATCGTTTCACGCATCGCCGAAAATACACCGGACGCGTTACCTCATTGCGCAATCGCGCGCTTGGAAGCTTTCGGTTTCGCGAATGAATCCCGACATTTCGCTCGCGCCGTTTTATTGTGTTTCTCGCTACAGAATATTACAGTTATTTTAACCAGATCGTTAGGGAACAATTATAATCCATATAAAATAGAGAGTGTTATTTTTGATATATAGCGAATGGAAACATCATTAGAGAAGATCTGCTTTCTATTTTCTTTTTCTTTTTTATGTCAGGCCATACGTCGACAAGGAAACGTTCTAGAATCCCCGAGGTACTTGACACGCCTCGGAAATAGAGATCAATGTTGGTCCAGTCGGTCGAAGCTAGAGTTGAACGATCTTCGATGTCCTAATTGGCAAGAGTTATCGGTGTTATTTAATCGGCACGAGACGCGCTTTGCGCGCTTTGCCCGGCACTGCTACGGCATATACCTGAGACAAACAATATCTCCCGATACCAATCGTTCTTTTTATAACAGTCGATCAATAGAATCATTAAATACATTGGCCGAGATAAGTGTCTATAATTTCGTAACAAAGAGACACACGTTAGATAAGGAAGTGCTAAAAAGTATTCGTACAGTTAAACGTATAACGCGATTCTTACTGACATTTTGCCGATAAGATAAATAACACGATTGCACTGAAGAAGAAAATGAGATAGCTTTTAAGAAAAACAGGTGTATAAATTCGGAATCGCGTATATATATATATTTTTTTGCTCGTTTTCTATATGTACAGAAATATAATTGGAAAAACTGACTCTTTTTTTCTATAGAACATGCAAAGTAGAATTCTCTTTTAACCATGCTTCAATTGATTTTATAAATAAACACACAAAGCTGACGAAAATTAAACTTTTTTTATATTTCACTTTACCGATACGTCTTTTACATTTTCCGTCCTTTTTTGGGTGATTACTTAAATTAGGTACACAAATTTTGATCTCTTTTTTTTCCCGCAAGTTTCCGCTTGGTCGGATGTCGAAGATTTCAGCCTTCTTTGCGGATTTTGACTTTACTTTCATATGATCGAAAGACTAAGACTTGTTCACGCATCTAATGTACATATACTCCCGCCAGTCTCTCTGGAAGGAAAGTTCACGCGCATAGATCCCATGACAAGGCTCCTCACAATCGTTTGCTTCAAATAACAGTTTGCGCATTGCAGACAGGCACCGGTCGCACTGCAACGCCAACCGATGCGGTCATTCGGGCGAAGTAAAAAAGATCTACCTGCGGGAGATCGCGGTCGGCACGGACTCCGACTTCCCTCTGGAACGATCGCCCCTCGCCGACAAGTCCCGACGTATCGCTTTCGAGTCTACTAACGAGTATCGCGGCGGTATCGCCAGTAATCGTGCTTTCGCTGTTAACAATAGCAGATACACTAACAACAACAACAACAACAGCAACTATCAGTCGCCACGGAAAGCGGCGGATTTTTACGACGTGCGCAACAACAACGAGAGAGACGCGAGGGCGCAGCGACAACGCTTCGACGGCAAGCGCAACGACAACACGATCGAGCATGAGATCGGCAAGAAGCAACGGAACGGCGGCCAGCCGGGGAACGACCACGAGGAGAACGGATACACACCCATGCCGGTGAAGCAACTGATACAGGAATTCGAGAAGACCTGCAGACCGGTTCTGCAGTACAAGCAGATCAGTCCGAGGATCGTTCCGATCGTGCAGCAGTGCCCGATGGACAACGACATAGCGCGCTTCTTCGAGACGAGGAACCCCACCAAGTGCGGCAACGAGGAGGAGGAGGAGTACGCACGGTGAGAACTCGCGGGGGATCCCTCGAGCGATTCGACGAATCTCCGGTATTCGCGGTTTAATTAATAATTAATAATTCGATCGTGGCAATTCCTTCCGTCTTTCCCGCAGTCGTCGAGATTACTGAAATTTTTCCTCGTGACCAATGCGCGACCTGAAAAACAGTTCGGTTGGATGGATCTGAAACGGACAAACCGAACGCGGTTGAAGATTGAAGGGAACAGAATTTCTGGCTTTTATCAAGTCAAAGATCAGATTAGATTCGGTTCTTATACAGCCAGAAATCCTGTCTCCTCCGATCGCCAGAAACGCGTTTGGTCCGTTCATTGTCAGTTTAAGGCTCCTGTTTCCTCGCCGCAGTCCTATCTTAATGACATCAGAAGCGAGAAAACGCACGCCAAGATGATCTGCGTTACACTTCCAAATCAAAAGATGTATCCGTAAAATAACATTTGTGATCGATTCGGCAAACTTGCATACAAGTTACGTTAAACAAGGACAGTGACACAGCGACTATTCTGGAGTCTTAATTCAATCGAACTTTCTTCCTCATACGGCATCGAAATGAAACGTGAGGAACAAACGAACCAAGGGGAGGGGGGAAGGCTTCATCATCCGAATCAATTGTGCAGCGCGCGCGAAAGCTACCGAGGTCCACCCGCGAAAGCGCAGCCCCAACGCGACGACCGGTTGTACGGCCCGCGCGAGAGCTACGAGAGATCCGCGAGAGCTACGAGAGAGCCGACGCGGCCTCAGTGTAACGGCCGACCGTACGACGTGCGCGACAGCTACGGGTCGGCGAAGCCGCAGAGCCGGTGCAACGGCTACGTCTCCACGGACGAGAGCGAATACACGACGGACGAGAGCGAAGACTCCGAGGCGGACGACTACCCGGGCTCGCTCGAACGCGGCGATTCCGCGCCGTCCGCGCTGCTCAATTACTGCGACAGCGAGTACTCGGTCGCGTACGACGACGAAAACGCCGGCCGACGGCGCTCGACCACCTCGCAGGAGCTCGAGGCCCTCTGCGCGAACGGCGAGCCGAGATTCGTCAACACCGAGGCCGAGACGCCGGTCGAGGCGAAGTCGCTGATGCTCTCGATACTCGCCTCGCAGGAGGACATACTCGAGACCAAGAGGCACCTGCGCAACACCCCGGTGTTGGACAATCTCGTGGGCACCGTCACGCCGGAATGCAAGCTCACTGATGTTAACCCGGAGTTAGGCAAGTTAACACGCATGCTAAGCCGCTCCGCCGCTTGTCGCGTACTAACGGTTCTCTTGTCCTATTGACCGACTTCTCGTCCTCCCCGATCATACAGCTGTATCTTCTCACTGGCACACGCTTCAACGAAAGCTCAGCTTCGAACGCGGAAGGGTTTCACACGAAGAAACGCCCTGTGCATATTTCACATCGTACATGGAGAAGATATTGCGGTAAGAATCTGGTAACGCTGGACCTTACCGGAATTATAACTGAAATTATGATGTGCATCGCAATCTTCAGTGATGCATATCATGTGTACACATCACTAAAGATTTCAACGCACATGATCGTTTATATAATAATTTCGATAATAATTCTGGTATGATCTAGCATTACACACGGACGAGACTTTTGTGATGATTTTTACTACGATATTTTCTCCATATATGAGATGAGATATTCTTTTGTACATACACACATTGAAAGAAAAAAATATATATTGTATTCAAGTATATATTTGCTGAAGACTATTGGAGTTATTTTATTCGTATTGAATAAATTAAGTAATTTAATTAGAATTATTCTGTTTGGACTAAGTATCACTAGAATATAGCCCTTTTTTCTTAGTGTATACATAGAAAAAACAATTTCATTGGTATAGCTGAAATTTCGATTGGGACTAGAGAAAAGCTCGGTTGTGGGAACGGAAAGATTCCTGTAGGAGGTTTTTATTCAGTTCTACTCAATCGAGTTTCAATGCAGTTGAATGCTCACGTGCACGATATTCTGTCAGTCGCTCTAACAGTCCTTTTTAACAATTTTCATTTCTCGTCACCGAGTTTACATCTGGCCTCTATTTCCGATTGCAGGAACTGTATTTTTTTCTCCCGTATAGAATATAAGAATTTTCTGTTAAGTAAGTATTTCCATTGAATAATATGTTAATGTTAGAAGAACGTTCTATTAAATTAATTTTCTGTTTAGCCCGTACGAACTTCTTAATGCGATGTTATTGTGCAACTGGTCCGTAATCACGATTGAATCTGATTCAATCGAATCACTGATCGAAACTGGTACAATATTGATGCAGATTCAAATTCGAGAGGTTTCAATTCGAGAGATACGAGATCATATCATTTTCTCTCGTACGAATAACAACGAGAATCGAATTAAAATAATGCCAATTTCGATCGCTGATTCGAGTAAAAATACGATAGAACTCGGAGAAACTTCGACAATTCTTCTTGTCACCTTCATAGATTCTCACATTCTCGATGTTTGAACATTCCAGGCAACAAGCTGTACGAGAACAACAATTACAACGGGCCCAAACTGGCCAGTCTCCACAATTTGACGAACTATAATACGGCGCCGCGCGGATGGAATCAATCCTTCACATTCTACCGACCTATTAAGTTCGAGAAGCCGCAGGAAATCGTATACTCCGATTTTTAGGCCTACGATGTCGAATTTTGTAATTTCGATTCTGTCGCGCGTCGTGGTACGTATCGCAAAATCAAAATTTTGCACAGGCAGATATGCACTGATAACTAATTATCGTTTTGAATATCTTCGAAATACGAGAATTGAAGGGAAATTTTTCCAACGGAAATTCCATCGATACCAATAGTCGTCGCTTCAAACACCTTCTGTAAAATCTTCGACGATAAACACAAAGACTTCAAAAACAAACAACAGAACTTCAAATCTCATCTTCATCTGGTCGTTAATAATATTTTTATTTTTCGCAAATATTCGAAAGATGACTTACACCAAACTTCATTTAAGCTTATCGATGAATAATAATAAGGATTATTGATCTCCGATTCAGCAATTTGTCATCTAACAATGATCGAAAATTTCGTAATTTCTATCTGCGTCTGTAAAATAGAGCAGAAACGATTGATAGCAATTTGAAATTGTCGATTAGCTTAATCCGAGTTTGGTAAAAGTCACCCTCAAAGTGATACTACCTTACCCTCTCTATAAATCGAATATCGGGAAAAATCAAATATCCTTTGTTTCCAGGTAACAAAAGATCGATCGTACATCCGACGACCCCTCCGAGGCGTCGACGATGAGAACCATTGAGACGTGTTTTTCGCACCGTTGTATCCATTTTCGCCACCACCCCGATTTAAATCAACCGTTCGCCGTTGATCACCCGATTATCTCGCCACGGATGGCGCATACGACGTTGACGGAGTTAACAGCGCCACGTGTGCGTCATGTTTGGAGTTTCGTGTTGCTTGGTGTACCTCTACGTCTTCTACCCCTCACCGAGATATTTAGCGTTGTTTATGCTTTGACGGTGTTACATTATTGCATTTTACTTTATTATGTTATGCAAATAAATGTTGTTTTCCTAATTCCAGCAATGATATGTCCACGATCCTTGCTCGTCTCTCATCTCTGCGTACCTCTTGATCTCATTCAGATCGCACACGCTAGAACTAGGTCGTGATAACAACATTTGGTCCGTTCTTTTTAGCTGAAGTGGCTGCACTAGTTCAAAAAATTTACATACACATTGAAGCGTATGAAACGTATGTGCGAGGTTTTCACGCTTCAGTGTGCGTAAATTTCCTGAACTAGCGCAACCAGCACTTCACAGCTAAAGAGAGGAAACCAATTAACGACGATGACAACGATGACGGCGATGAAAACGACGACAACACAGTTATTCTCCGAACAACAGTTACATTCATACGGCGATTTCAATACATTATTGTGTAATACTGCAATACTTTCGGAAATATCAGTTGTTTCAAGATTGTGAAGGCCGTGAAGCTTGGACTCGATAATATTCATTACTAGTACGTTCAATCTTGCGATAATCGTTCTTTTAAATAAGATAAGTTCAATATCGTTCGTCCTCGATAAAATACTATATTGTGTTTTTCATATTTTTCCTTATCACACACATACAGATTCTTTCTCAGAAAAGAGACGCAATCAATTCGTATTTTTATTATTTTTTCTTTCAATCTTTTTTCAATTTTATTGAGTCTTAACTTTTTCAATGTGTGCGATATTTTGTTATTTTACTGCCTAACTCTTCCAGAAGATAATGCGTACACGTAAAGAAATATTCTCAGCAAAAGTCCGTTCCGTTTTTTAATCAGTTCTCCCCTCAGAAATCCCAGAATTTCTACGGGTGCGGAATTATGCAGCTATCGCAGAGATAGCAGATCATCGATAAACAAAACGGCGCATATTAATTGATTAATTGTATATTTTAGAATAAATAAATGTTATTATATGTACATTTTGATTAAAAAGCGGGACGAACTTTTGCATCAACCCAACCCAGCAAATACATGTGACATACTTATCGATTGTAATTTCCTATTCAACGATGTAACTGTTATATAAAGCGTGTGTTACATATGAGTTATATTATTGGGTAGAAAATTACAACCAACAGATATGTTACATGTTACATTGTGTTGTGCTGGGGATACATAAACGCTACGACATTGTTCACGTTGGCGAAAGCAAGAGGACGCTTTTTTTCGCGCGCGAGACGTGAGTGAATTCCATCGGATGAACGCTTACGCCTTTGCATTTTTAACCGTCGTATTCGTTCGTCTCCCGACTTCTACTCGAGGCATCCTATCGGAGTGACTCGCACGCTCGGTCAGCGTCCGATATATAAGTATAGGGCATGAGCTTCACTTATCTCATTAGTCGTGTGTCAGAGGAAGCATCGGTCCCAGATATGTCGAATCGCGAATCCCTGCTTCTGCTGTCGCTTGCGTTCGCGCTGCTTCTCGTCCACGGCGATGCGGCGCGAATACCACAACAGGAATCAACGACGACGACGGAGAATTGCGGTTACAAGGTACGCGCAAATTGACTAACAAGCGAAATACTGCCGAGAGGAGAAGGGGGGATGAACGTTCCGCACAGCGACGAAGTGTCAATGAACGATACTGGCGACTAATCATGTTTACGTCTGAAATTATCGTTATGTAAATGAACATTCCTTAGTATCACAATTCATTGGCGATATATTAGTCCAATATTAATTATATTGGCATTCATTGAGGGTATGTCGAGTGAATGTTGCCCAATATAAGGTCAACGAGACAGCCAAACCTGCAGAAGTAAATTTTGCACAGTGTTTCATATCATTTTCTAATTTAAATTCTTTGCCTTGGCGAGAGACGTTGGACTGTTTATGTTTGCTGTCTACTGCCTCGCAATTTTGGGTTGCAGTTTCGACACACTTCTCACTTACACACACTTCATTAATTTCAGGCTTGCCATGCCGTCGACCCGAGTAAACTTAACATTCACTTGGTCGCACACACTCACGACGACGTCGGCTGGCTGAAAACTGTTGATCAATATTACTTCGGAAGTGAGTGAAGGAGAATAATAGTACTAGAAACATCACTCACTGAGAAATTAATTTCTGTGTAATAATTTGTTTGAGAAATGATTAATTAAGATCGGTAAAATATTTGAGATCCAAGGAAAACAAAGTATCTTATTGAATTTAGTATATATACTTCTAATTACGAATAATTATAAGGATATTTTCTCTTATGTCTGTTATTATTTTATAAAAGTTGATATGAAAAATATTTAAGAGTTTTATCATCAATCAAATTATAATAGTTATGGCGTTAACATACAAGTTAATCGCAAAAATTGCTACTTGCTATTTTTATTAATTTTCTTGCTTTGTTAATGTTTTAGCATATCTATATAAAAACAACCAATTTTAAACTAAAATAATTTAATAATTAAAAAAGTTATTATTATTATTTAATAATTTAATAAGTATTAAAACTCTTTAAACTATTAAATAATTTGTAACAACTATTCGTAGATAAATACAACAGGTTTAATCATTTCTGACGAATTCTTTACTCTTCAAGGTCGCTCCATGATCCAAAAGGCCGGCGTGCAGTACATCATCGATAGTGCTGTTCAAGCACTGCTGGCTGATCCTAATAGGAGGTAATTATCTCATGTAGTCTTCCACAATAGATGAGCTGTTCACCAGCATGAGAGCTACAACGCGATAAAAATCCGCACAAAAAATAATAAATAGATAAGTTGTATCAGACACAGATATTCGTATTATTACGTCGACTATTTCGTTGATAAACGCGACTTTAATATCGTTTTACGAAGATATTACTTTCCATTTATTTTTCATTCCGAGTGTGATTGAAAAGATACAAATTTTAGATCGCTCTTTTTCCAGATTCATTTACGTGGAGACCGCCTTCTTCTGGAAATGGTGGCTACGGCAGAACGAAAAGGTGCAGGCCGACGTGAGGATGTTGATCAACGAGGGACGACTGGAATTTATCGGAGGGGCATGGAGCATGAATGACGAAGCTGTAACTCACTATCACTCGATAATTGACCAATTCACCTGGGGATTCAGGTACGCGCTGAATCGTACGTGAAACGTGCCAGACAGAGAGAGAGAGAGAGAGAGAGATGCATGAAAAGAGAAATATCTGAGCAATATTTTTCGCGTTTGCATTTTGCCTATTATCGCAAAAAATGCATTACATTGTATTTAAGTTTCGGGCTCTTCCTCTTCCTGAAGAAACGAACTAAAATGTTCACGAAAAATCGGAGATAAATCCACGAAGGATGTAGCACTAGCTTGGAAATCAAATTAAACATTTCTCTAAAATATCGTATTTGAATTCTTGGAAATATAACTTGTTTTATACAAGTTATAACTCGTTGATCTCACTGATTTGCAGGCGACTCAACGATACGTTCGGAAGCTGCGCCAGGCCGCATATAGGGTGGCAGATAGATCCGTTCGGTCACTCCAGGGAACAAGCTTCTCTATTCGCACAGATGGGCTTTGATGGCATGCTCTTCGGGCGTATCGATTATCAGGATAAGGCGAAGAGACTGCGCGAGAAGTCGATGGAATTCATTTGGAAGAGCAGTCCTAGTTTAGGTGAGGCAAGAGTCTTCGGTCAGCCGAGACCGATGACGCGAAACTAGATGTAACTCAGAAAATCTCACGTGACTTTAATTGAACTTGAGACTTGTTTGCATAAGTAAATTGTGTTAAAAATTTTGAAGATAAAGAGGATGACGCTTTCGCTCGGAAAAGTCGTTTACGGAGTTGCCAAGTGAAAAAAAAAAGAAGGTAGAAATTTCAGTTGCAACTCTGTAAGTTAATCGTCTCTTAGTTTAATCAGAGTTTGGTGCAACTGGGCCTTAGTAGTATATTCTGTAGATACAATTCATTGTTGTTTATTGTTCATTAAAAGTATGATGCGTGTGACATTGCCGCTTTCAGGTCAACGGGCGGATTTGTTCACGGCCGCGATGTTCAACACTTACAGTCCACCAGCGGGATTCTGCTTCGACGTTTTGTGTGCGGACGAGCCGATGATCGATGACCCCGATAGCCCGGACTACAACATTGATACCAGAGTACGTAATGCAATTAATAGTGGTGTAGTTATTGACACCCATGCGGCAATACATAAATTAACGAGGTCGTCTTGCGCGTTAATCGACTTATCGCTAACGCTTTGCACCAATTAATTGATTTCTAATTAATTTTCACCGAAACAAAGCGAGAATTTCCAAAAATTTGGAAAATCTGCACTAAAATCGTTAGAAGAATATAGTAGGAATATTTAGAAAGAAATCCCTTCATCTTAGAAATTCTGATTTTTGTGAAACTCCGTCCACTTGAGAAAAAGAGTTAAAAACCTTCCACATATGAAAATGTGGTTTCAATTCCTAAAACTCTTTGTTAGAAACCGGAAGATTCCATATTTATTCATGATTGTTTACATACGTACGAAAGTTGAAGACAATCAGAATTTTCAGGTTGACGAGGTTTACCTATGACGAAGAATCTAAAGATCCTAAACGAGAGAGATATGTAGGAAAGTGAAAAAGTCGCAATCAACAAAGCAACAGTTTCCAACAACGAGTAATTAAATCGAAACGCGAGGTATATACGTATATTAAGTGCCGGAGTCATAATGTGCGCGATGTGTTTCTGTGCCAGATCGAAGCGTTTCTCAAATACGCGCTCGGGCAAGCTCGTCAGTACCGCACGAATAATATCATATTGACAATGGGAGGAGATTTCACTTATCAATACGCGGAAATGTACTACACGAATCTGGACAAGCTGATAAGGTATTAACATCTGAGGAGATCTAATTGATTTTCCGTAATTTACGCTTTCTGTAATGTTCGCGAGCTCGCAACGAGTCGCATTTTGCAAGGACGATATCACTCTGATAGCGAGACACGTGCAGGAACAGAAAGCGGTTTTCGCGCGATCACTCTCGCGCGACGATCTCCCCATCGTCGTTGTCGTCGTCGTCCTCCTCCTCCTTCTCCTCCTCGTGGTAAGTAAGAACTGTTCGCGATTGACAGGTGAGAGACTTCCTGGCGTACGTGCAAACTCAAGCGAAAGCCTACAAAACTAATAACATTATCCTCACTATGGGCGAGGACTTTAACTACCAGCACGCTGAGATGTGGTTCGGTAACTTAGACAAGCTAATCAGGTAAGTTGCGAATCAGGTGGCCACCGTGTAAACAGGTGAGATGCGAAAAGATTCGACTTGTCGACTTTATCTTCCTAGTATACAAAATACGGAGCTTTGATAAATCGTTTGATTTTTATTCTCAGATAATACGAGATATCTTATAAGGAGGATAAGCCGATAATTATCCGTGCTCTACTTACAAAATTTTTATGAGAACAGTAAAAAATTTATAAACACTTTATTTTTCAATGTGTAATCCCCTCTTAATTTCCAATGCACTTAGTTTAATGTGTTGCAAGTGTCATTTCCAGGGAGAAAAAATATACTATCACCAAATATACTATCATCAACCTACATAAATTTCTAACTTGTATAATTTATAATTAATTATAATTAAAAATAATTATAACTAATTATAATTAAATTTAAATTTATAATTAAATTTAAAATTAAAATTAAAAGTCGAAAATTGTCATTAAATTTAAATTTATAACTTATATATATTCATAAGTGCGCATAATTATCGATTCACTCTCGTCGTGCAATTGATAATAAAATTATGATCGGTGTGCTTTAAGTGATCCGACCTGCAATTTTCATCTATCGTCAGTGAAAATCAATGTTCCAATTACGTTAACATATGTACATTGTGCATATATACAATTTGATAAAGAACTTTTTGTATAACTTTTTTTAGATACACGAACGAACGCAATGGTTCCACGGTCAATGTGCTCTACTCGACACCCTCGTGTTACTTGAAGGCATTGCATGATGAGAATCTCCAATGGCCGACCAAGAGCGACGACTTTTTCCCGTATGCGAGCGATCCTCATGCTTATTGGACTGGCTACTTCTCGTCCAGACCAACGGTGAAATATTTCGAGCGGATGGGAAACAACATGCTGCAAGTAAGGGCATGATTGTAATTCGATAAGCAAAACAGCACGTTATTTAAGCGCTATCAATGTCGTCAAAATAATAATAACAATATTTGCTTTATCAATCAATACATATATCTAACAAATTGACAATCCGACGACTGTAATATGAATCATATATAAGATGATTATGAAGCACAGTGTATTCAATTTCACACTTAATTTCAAACTCAACGGTAGAAACAAATTTTCGTTCTTTAAACTTTTTGTTCATATTATGTTAGATATTTTGCTAAACCAACTTTAAGTAAAACTAATGTATTATTGCTTCCAGGCGAGCAAACAGCTCGTCGCACTGACAGATCTGAAGAACCACGACAAACAATTGGAACATTTCCGCGAGGCTATGGGAGTTATGCAGCATCATGACGCTGTTACCGGCACCGAGAAGCAGTTCGTCGCGGACGATTATGCGCGTATATTGTACGACAATATGCATCACGCCGGAGACATAATGTCGGAGGCTATAGGGTGAGTACATAATCAGAATTTCTCGCCTTCTAGTTTCTAGTTTTACCTCTCTGCGATTTTAATTTCCTTACTTCGGTCTTTACTCTCTCCAATGTTTCATTCCCGGGGAAAAATGATTATATATGATTATATATAATTATATAAAATCATATATGAATTTTGTCCATATATGTGGTTACATATGTGATCATATATGTCTACACGAAAAAAAAAATAATGTTGTGTCATTTAATTAAATGTCGATATTATATGCTGTCAGAAGCACAAGTAGCCAGAAGCATTTACTTCGATTGTATTCGCATATAATTTGTAAACAACAGTCTTTTTTCGTTGTGGACATATATGATTATATATAGTCATATATGGGCAAATTTCATATACAATCTTTTTTTCTCGGATTGTTCTACTTTCCTATTCTTTTCTTTGATGATCTCATGGTAGAAACAATTTCAAGTTAAATTATATTAGAAGATGGGAAAGTTTTTTAACTTCACCGTTACCTGTGGAACAGGAAATGGTCAGGGATGACGCAAGATGATGCGAAGATCTTCACGTGCTTGGAGCTGAACATCAGCTCCTGCGCCTTCTCCGAGGAAAGTGACATGTTCATGATAACGGTATACAATCCTCAGAGTCGACCGGTCTCCACTTACGTTCGCATTCCAGTCGAAGGGAACTCTTATGCAGTTCGATCACTCAACGATGGTTCGTATGCCGAGAAGCATCAAGATATAAAAAAATATATAGATGACGACAATTGTGTGTAAATTGTCAAGACTATAGCTTATACAATCACAATTTCATATTACGACCGCAAAATATATATGAGGAATTCTTTCACATCATATAAATATCATCGAGTAACGGTTAACAGTTGAATAAGCAAAATGTATAAAATAATAATAGAAATTGCTGTACATCTAATCGAATTTATGAGATATTTAATATATATTCTTGGATGATTAAACAGGAGTGTATCCGGCCGTCCAGATAGTGCCGATTCCTCAGAGCGTTCAAAATATCCCAGGACGAATGAGCAAGGCGCAGAATGAGCTTGTCTTCCGTGCTACGAACATTCCTGCTCTCGGTCTGGTATCTTACGTCATAGCTAAGTCTAAGACGCTGGAAGACACACCGCAAGCCGAACCAACGAGTTTTATAAGCAATGAGGTAAATAGACGCGTATAGACGTACAGACAGTTAAAGTAGACCATTAATTAAAAAGATTAACGTTCACATACACGTGTGTTTGAGAAGATAATAAAGACTATATTAAAATTACTCGATAATATTTTAATACGTATTAAAATAACTTTTATTAACGCAATCTTTCTCTAAAGCATTCTACATAACTAAATTGACGCTCTTCTTGTGTCATAATACAATGTTACCTTAAAAAAGACGAAATAAGCCGCAATTACCTCCGAAATTCATCTCTCGTCTGACTTTCAGCTGTATAATATATCGGTCAACGACGACGGTAACGTGATAGTACACTACAACAAGCAGAAAAACATGAACTTTGTACAGTCCTTCCATTACTACGAGGGAGCAGAGGGTAACAACAAAGTCTTCGAAAACAGATCGTCCGGCGCGTATATCTTCAGGCCTAAAAACGCATCAGTCAATAATTTTGACTATACCGGGACGTACCAAATCTACAAAGGTATTGTTCACTCGTCTAGAATAAAACGTAAAATGTTACAATTTTCTCACGTGTCTCTATTTCTTAAATGGAATGGTCTGTACAGATTTTTGGATTTAGATTTAAATAACTCTTTTACAAATGGATAATGTTTCTTCGAAAAATTGTTCTCTTTTATTTTTCCCATTTAATTTCATACAGCTCACCCTATATGTGTCCATAGCACTCTTAAATATATCTTTTATCGTAAAATTCATCTACTTTCTCTCTGTCAGGTCCGGTTGTGGAAGAACTTCATCTGACGGTAAACGAATGGATGAGTCAAGTAGTCCGAATTTATTCAGAAGAGGAGCAAGTTGAGTTCAATTGGCTGATTGGACCGATACCTGTGAAGTAATGATCAATTTTTATTACTACGACGATTTTTAATTGCTGTCCGCGATTCTGTCGACTACTTCATGAAATTTAGATTGAAATAAATTTTTCTAGTTCTCTTTATACAATAAATGTATATAATTTATATTTATAATAGTACATAATTAATGATATATTAAGTTTAAAATTATTATAATGTTTAATATGACATTTTTATAACACTTCTAATCGCTGCGTATTATTTTCAGAGATAAGATTGGCAAAGAGATTATCACGAAGTACTCGAGCAACCTGAAAACGGACGGGGAATTCTACACAGACAGCAATGGAAGGGAGATGTTGAAACGTGTGAGAAATTATAGACCAACGTGGGATCTGGAGTTGCACGAGCCGGTAGCTGGGAATTATTATCCGGTGACTAATAAAATTGTCATCAAAGACGAAGAGAAGCAACTGAAGTTGAATGTCTTGACCGATCGTGCCCAAGGTGGAAGCAGCATGGATGACGGCTCTATTGAATTAATGGTAAGCCTTCTGTGTAAAATAAAATTTAATCGATCTCACTTCGCGATTTCTTTCACGCTAACTTGCTAGTCTGAACGATAAATTTTTAGAAGTATTTAAAATCTATAAAACATAAGAAATTTCGGAATTTATTTAGAGAATGCAGAGAGTTTAAAATTCGCAAGCTTTAGTTACAAAATTGTATTTAAAATATTCGAAACTTATAAGTTAAAATTGAATTAAAAATAGAAACTAATAGAAATAGAAATTAAAAATAGAATTATAATTCAATTATATGTTGAATTTTTATCACTGATCTGCAACTTTATTGATTTTCTAAAACATGTAAAATGTTACGATATCAAGTGAAAATGTACGTACTATAATAAACGATATTTCTTTCAGCTTCATCGAAGACTCCTGAAGGATGATGCGTTTGGCGTCGGCGAAGCGTTAAATGAATCTGCATATGGCGAAGGTCTAGTAGTAAGAGGCACACATTATCTCTTTGGAGGCGGATCGAAGAACTTGGACGAGTTTGTATTGAAGGAGAAAGAACTGACCCTCAAATTGGCCCTACATCCTTGGATCTTAGGTGCTCCCGTCACTAACAATTCTGAGGATATGTATAGTACATACAGGACCTTCGTACGTATATACTTTCGAATTCCTGCTTCGTGAGTTTTATGCAAGATAAATAGCTCACATGGTTATTTTACAACTAATATAAAACACAAAGCTCGGCAGACAATTTGCAAGGTTTACAGTAAATCTCCTATTTTGAACAGTCCGATGAATAGTTTGTCGAGATTTGTTTTACGCCACTTAGTAACTATTTTGTGCGAGGGCTATCTAGACGTAATGTTTGTTGATTAAAATTCATTTCGTAGACGTCGGGGCTTAATAAATTATTGCCACTGAACGTGCACATTCTTACGCTAGAGCCATGGAAAGATGGTACAATTCTGTTAAGGCTGGAGCATCTCTTCGAGGCTGGCGAGGCACAGCAGATGTCTCAACCTGTGGAAGTTAATATACAGGTGCGCCTTTACTTTTATATAAAATTTTCTAATTATAGACTTCTCTGACACATAAATGTTCTATATAAATAATATAGAACATACTATATATAGAAAAATATAATTATATAATAATTATAAGAATTATATATGATAATTATCTATGAAATAGGCAGTTTCAAAGCAGCTGTTAATTCTATTACCTTTTCGTCTGATAGGATCTATTTTCGACATTCTCCATCTTATCGATCGAGGAAACCGCGCTTGGCGCTAATCAACGACTGAGTGATATGAATCGCATGAAATGGGAAGCTGAGACCAATGATGTTCTTCAGGAGGCGGAAGAGAACGTGCAACCCGTACAAATTCAAGACAACGTAACTAATGTTCTCTTGAAACCGATGGAAATACGCACTTTTATCCTGACAGTGAAGCGTAAACCCCTTTAGTTCTTACAAAGATGTATTTGATTTTTTGCTCATTGAATTGATGTCATTACCTTTTTTCTACGGTATTGTACACATATAATTATTCTAAGTAATACAATTACATATAATACGACGTAAAAACACTGTGTTATGTACATATATTTTACATTTTCTTTTCTAGTATACACAAAGGGCTAAAGTTGAAATATAATTGAAAAATGCCCAACACACGCTGTATTATTTTTGCTTTAATAAATATTACGTAATCCTTAACTTGTAAAATTCGATCATCGTAGCAGATTTCAATAAAAAATGTGTTTTGAAAAATGTGTAAAACATGTACAACGAAATTTGAGATGTTATCGCAACACAGTTCGACGTGTGTTACATGATGTGAGAGTGTAGTAAAACGCAAAAGACGTACAAAAAAAGCGAATTATTGTTGTATCCAACAAAAATAATTATCGTCATTTTTATGGAAATTTTATTGTTCTCATATATTTTGTTAATCTGTGTTTGGCTGGTTAGAAATAATTTAAGAAATTATTAATGGGCCACTATGATCAAACAAGTATATTTTTATCGAAAATAGAACTATGAAATAATAAAAATCTACGAAAAAACGACGATTCTGAGGTCGATTTTTGACACGATTCAGAGGATTCAGAAAGCACGGCAACCCACGCCTATGCAACCCAGTTTAAGTTAGATTTAATGACATTTTCGATTTGCTAACTCGAGCAGCGTTCCAATAATCTTTGCAGCACTGTAACCTATAATTGAAGTTACATATACTATAGTTTGCAATATTGTAGCGATTAACGGAACGCAGCGAATTGGGTCAAGTCAGGAAATTGAAAATGCCATAACTTTATTTCCGAGTAATTTATTAAGTTTACATAAATTGCAAAGACTCTGGGTAAAATTCACCACTCATGTCGAACCATCTCCTCAGCGCGAACGTTATAAGCTTTAGAAAGTTAGTTGTAAAGCTAGTTACCGTACGCAATGAACGTCACAGGCGTATAGTGAAACGGCTCAAGGGACGATATGGATGCTGTGAGCGAGCATGCAGTGGAACACACTTCATAAGGTGAATTCGGGGAAACGCTATGCTACGCTTAGCTCTAAATGCTGTTCGCGGAGCTAGACAATAGCACTAACAAACGCGATCATGACGTCACTAGTGGTAGTGTTTTACGTCATAACTTTGCACTACAAACGCTATTTCTTCCGAAGTAGTGTGATGGTGGCGTTAGTGTTTGCAAACTCCGTGAACACTCAAAACTGCACAACATTAGGCGCGTTCCACTTAATGCTTGCAACGGTCGCGACTACAGACCGAATCTACATTGCCCAATCATATTAGTTAATTTGCCGAATTGACGAATGCAATTGGACATCTGAACACGACCTATGTTTGCAATCGTCCCGAGCGTTTAAGTGAAACGCACCCATTGTATGTCATAGCTCTCGTACATGAATATCGTACAGTACGAGTATACATTGCTTTACTATTATTCCTGTATGTAACGGACGGTTGTATGGAAATAAAACTTCGGCATGTTGAAACTGAAGACGAGTTTGAACTGTAATATTTGACATAATCTAAAAAAGTTTAACTTAACTCGAAGAAGAAGTACAAAACGACGGTACAACGCAGTACAACAGTAGTTGGCAGGTTCTTTTCAGCTGCATTGTTGAACTGGTGTAATAAGTTAGAATAGGTCTGTTCGTTTTCGCTGCACCGTTGAACTAGTGCATTAAGTTGAAGTGGAAAAACATATACTTGTCTTGCTTCAACTTGTTACACTAGTTCAGCGGTGCAATAAGTTAAAGTGAGAAAACATATATCTGTCTCGCTTCAACTTATTGCACTAGTTCAGCGGTGCAGCGAAAACGAACAGACCTATTCTAACTTATTGCACCAATGCAGCTAAAAAGAACAGACCAAATGCTAACGTTACGTTAATACCGTTCACCGAGCGTGCTATCGCTTTCGTGCTATTGACCCCACGAACAGCGTTAGTAGTGTTTGCGTTTATGGCGCTAATAGTGTCCCCGAACGCAGCTATATAGGATCTATTTTTCATCATTCGTGATGATTTGTTATAAAATATTTTTCTGTTTGAATCAACTTAGCAAGGACAGTGCGATGTCGTACCGGCGCACTTTGGTCTCTTCAATCAATTCATCAAGGCACTCCTTTTCTTTCTTTCCGAATTTGATGAAATGGTTGAAAATGGCATTTTGACTGACTCCCAAATGTTCCACAAGTTCTTTTTGAGTTTACGGTATGTTTTGATTTAATAATGCTCACGGCTCGTCTGATTAAAACTTGACAGTTTGTTCAAAACATGACTAGACTTTCAGGTAAAAATCTCCTTCGCGAAATTTGTTTACCATTTTTTATACATTGCGTGATTTACGATATTATCATCCATGTACAGTACAAATCATTTTGGCAGCTTTAACGTTTTTCTTGAAATGAAATGTCAGATGTATGGAATATTGAATATGCTCTTTGCTTATGGCCATTATGAACAATACTAACTTTTGAAATATGTATCTTACCCTTCTGTCACATGACGTTTTGTAATTATTAATATCAATACCTCAATCGCAATTGGGAAAATACTTTGATTTAAAATATTGATCTAGTCGATGCAAAACAAAGCTAAGAACTTTTTACTACTAATATGTAATATTTGATCAGAGTAATTTTTGTGTTTAGCAGATTTGGTTAGTCGGCTGATATGCCTTTTAATCAATATAAAATGTATCAATTTATTTTCACGAACTTTTCGTATTTTTATTTAATTCAATATATTATGCTACCTTCATGCTACCTTCATTCATTCATGAAATCTTTTTTACATATATGAGTTAAACTCTACAATTATACAACTCGTTATGAAAATTAACAGCAAATGCATAATAACAAACATAATATATATACATAGGATATTTCAACAATCGCTTAAAATTATAACCAATGTTTCAGGAATAAAATGGAGAAACTTTTCTCATTTGCAGAAAATTTAAACATTATATAATTTTTTAACTATTTAATTTTCTAGCGATCAAGATTCGATCAATGGGAGAAACAGTGTAGCGTATAATCACAAGACGATTGTAACAGTTTTTCTTACGTGTTTTACGTTCGAAATACACAAAAGATATAACGAAATAAATCTATTGAACTGTTATTTTTAGCTGAACTGGCTGCACTAGTTGAAGAAATGTATGCATACTGAAGCATGAGAATTTCATACACGCACTTTATATGTTTCAATATATATGTAAATTTCTTAATCAATGCAGTCAGTTTGTCTAAAAAGAACAGACTATATGATTCACGAACATGTGCAATAGATGGTCAAACAGTTGCCAAAATTATATATGTCAAAATTACATATACATATATAATTTTGACAGCTATCTGACCATCCACTACCATAATTTGCTTTGTCGTCATTTTTATGTTTTGAAACATGTAAAAAAAAAATTGTTGTAACCGTCCTGCGACTGTACATGTTGAAGTAGTATGTCAGTAAATTCAGTGTACAAATCTTTCATTGGTCAAATCTTATTCATTAAAAAATTAAACGATTGAAGAACTGTGATATCTGAACTTTTACAAGAAGTTGTTTCATTTGGTTCAAAACACCATAGATATTAGTCGATAGTTGTTAGTAAGATAATAGAAAGTTTAGATGGTCATTATGAGACATCCTACATATATTAACGTTAAGATAAATACAACGGAATGCGTATGGATATTTACACATTGGAGTAAGACGTTCATATTGATATTTTGCGCGTCGGTGAGACTAGCATTTTATCATTAATTAATACTATTCCTATTTTTTCTTCTTTCTGTAAACCGAGGATACTAATATTGAGTCGAAATCAAACTTAATCTAAATAATTTTTGTAAATTGTCGGCATGAGATATGGAAATGTTTTTCCTGCAACGATATAGATTTCATACAATACATATTAAAGCTTAGCTATCTCTCGGCAGTCGCGTTGGTTCAGGATATCATAGGCGAGAAATATGTAATAAGTTTTTTTTGCGGCATATAACTTTATCTTTTTGTTTCCCTTGAAAAACATAATAGTTTTGTAATCCTGAAACATATGCCGCAAACTGAGATGTCCGTCAATTATGTTATGTAGAATTGCAAAGTAATTCCTGAAATAACGTGTTATTTTTCAATCATACTCAGGCAATCGTGACAGCTAAGACGGCTGAAAAATGACCCGTTATTTTAAAAATTATTTTGCAATTTTACGTGATATATCGAGCAATCATCTCAGTTTGTCACATATTTTCCAGGCTTCAGGATTACGAAACTATTATATTTTTTTAAGCAAACTAAAAATAAAGTCATATGCCACAAAAAACTTACTACATGTCATTTCTCATCTATGACGTCATAAAATTGATATAGCTGCCCGAGAAATCTGAGCTTTAATATAAATACATTAATACAATATAATTTTAATATGAAGATATTATTTTTATATCTCTCCCTCTCCTAATCTGCGGCAGAGATCGTGATAGTTTTTCCCTTAGGATCATCGAATCTGTCCATGGTACGAATATCCATTATCATTGTGAGCGCCCAAGTCATAATTGAAGCTAATATCGCGGTCACAAAAATTCCCGTCCAGATCGGAATACTAGTGAAACCAACACAGTCGTAAGCGTCGCTAAACATCGCGTTCCTTGAATCAATTTGAACTTGCATATCCGTGATATTTAAATATATCGTATCATTGAGAAAAACGACATTTTGGGAACAATGATAAGAAAAATTATAGGGAAAGTAAATATCTAGTTTGGTCTCTAATGAATCGCTTATATCGTTCGTCTTAAAATTAACTTTCTTCAGTGTATAATAGCCAATGGTTTCAACTGGGAAGAAAAACTCGAGTGTCAGGTCGCCAATAGCAGTATCAGAAAATTTCATGGTCAAAATCACCGTACCAAGTTCATCTGTACGAGTTGATGCTGTTGTAACATTGGAAGAATGAAGTAATGTTTCATTTTCTGACTTTTTGACCTGTAATAACAAATATTTATTTTATTGTAACTATATAGAATGTCCGATAATTATTTCAGCATTCGTAATGTACAGGTAGTGAGGAATTAATTAATCTTAATTTCTAGAAACAGAGTAACTTAGCGAGCTGCACATAACAGAGCAGTGCGCTAAAAAGAAACACGTTTCTCGCTATCAATTAATATTCATCATTGCTAGGATATCTTCAGAAATAAGCCATTTTTTTTACAGAATTCGGCCTGTTCCTCGTGCGATTACTGACTCATTCAGATTAATTCCTCATTAATTATTGCGATCTTTACAAAATGCTATATGACTTTCTTGTTCAATTTAATCCGTTCTATCTGCACGAATGCCGAGGTAATTATTGGACATCCTATATATGTACAAAGTATCTTAGAGTAACTTCTACATATTTCGTGAAAGAGTAAACAAAAAAGTCTTCTACCATTTTGCAAAATGTAAAATTTCAAGTTATTATTTACTGAAAATAGTCATGTATACAGGCTTCTTTAATTAATAACTCAAAAATTAGCGACATCATTAAACCTTGGCTTTTGAACCTAAAGCTAAGGCTAAGTACAACAGCTGTCACATACTTGTAAATTCGGCCACTCTGAACAAAGGTCCTTTACCATTTTATAAATAACATGAAAATTTTCGAGACATTAATTACAGAAGCCTCTATACATAGCCAATTTCAATAATAACTCAAAATTTTGCATGTTGTTTGCAAAATAATAAAGGACTTTTCTATTAACTTCAATCTGTTCTACGCTATCACCAAATTTGTGTATATTGCTGTGAAATACTCTATATATATGTATAAAACCAGGTCTCCTATTTTAAAGAAAATGTTTTAGACAAAAGTTGTAGGATTTCGAGAAGGACGTAAGGTACTGACCTTAACTTTGTTGTATAGTCAATAATTCAAAGTGATTTTAAGAACAACTTTAATTTTTTTAATAGAAACATACAGTCATTTTTCAAAACAATTCAATTCTTTTCTTCATTCTGCATATAGAAGTACTATAGTACTATAGTACATATAGAAGTACTATAGTAAAATCAAAAGTCGTCAAAAAGTGAAAACTTTTCGAGATACTTTACTTTTCACTTTGATATTTTTCAGTACAAAATATAAAATATCTCATAAAGTATTCATTTTTCGATAATATCACCTGAACATTTCTGCATGTAGAATAGATGGAATCGATCATTGTAAATAAACATAGAAAAACTTTAAAAAATACATCGCATTACAAATACATCGATGTACCAATATGCAATGATAAATATCAGTAATTTATTTCTTTCATATCATTATGTAAAAAAGTGTTAAAGTGACGTTATCAAAAAGTGAATATTTTATATTTCAGATTTTGTTATGAAAAATATCAGAATAAAAAGTAAATATTTTGAAAGTACTTTTCAATTATCACACTCTAGTATTTTTTTACGTAGAATAAACAAAGGAATCGGGTTACGATAAAAAAAAAACTATATGATTCTATTTAAAAAATAAAGTTGATCTTGAAATATTAACTATACAATGAAGATCACTATCTCATATCTCCCTCGAACTCTACAACTTTTGTCTGAAACATTCTTCTTTAAAATAAGACACCCTGTATACATACATGTGTGTGTGTACGCACACACTAAAATTTTATATAAAAAATGTTGTTTTGAAAATTTCTATTTTTTAATTTTTTTATTATAATTTTAATGTTAATTTCTTACAAAATACTTTCTTACCTTGAATAATAGAGCTTTACTGGAATATAGCAGGACTCTATCTGTTTTTAATCTAAAATCTGTATAATTTTTTTTATCAGCAGGGACATCTCGTTTTATACGATCATTGTGACTGTACCGACACTCCTTTCCTGTAAGTGCTACACATGTATTTGAATCAATATCTTTTAAAACCATGTTCAATTCATGATCATCATTTATGTCCTCTATCATCTTCATCTGTTTATAGGTGATGGTTTTGCGGAAGATAGAGTATGGTGTATCAACGCAGGGAAGATAATACAGCTTAGAGCCATTGATAGCATTTGACAATACCTATAACACATTCCATATTGCAATTTATTTAATAATTTGTAGAATTATATTTAGTACTGAAATTATATATTTTACCTTAAATATTTAACTAAATTTAAATTCAAGCTATATTTAATGTATGTTGTGTTTATCACATCTATATGGTTCTCAAATCGTAATATTACATAAGTAAAATTTTGTATTGAATGATAATTATATCTTATTTGTCAATTTACACTACAATGTTCATGCAATATGATGTAATTATTCTTTATAATACTGTTTTACATAATTTAAAAATTGAAAAAAAGTGCAACATAAAATATAATTAAAACATAGATAAAACTAACAACTTAAAACTAAAAAGATAATTAACACATATAAAATAACCTTATTGTTCTTGAAATCTTCAACACATAGTTCATCGACGACGATGAGCAAGTCAATATTTTTGCCTAATTGATCCAGAGTTCTTTCAAAATCCTCCGACGATAATTTCTGCAGTGGATCTGATGCTACATTGAGCTGCGTCGGATTGACAATGTCAGACTGGTTGTTTGGACACCAAATTACGACAGGCACGGATGGGCCGGCGTGTAAAAGCGTAAATTGACAGAGAACGATCAGAGCGAGAAAAAATTGAGAATTCTTTCTCATACTGCTCTTCATCGTTAATTCAAATTGAAACAAATCGTACACAACCACCCACTATCGAGCGATACTGAATAGACAAGAAGAGGTAGAGCACCTATTCCCTCTCAATCATATGACACGGATCACATGGCCGAAAATTTCCGGTTTTCGAAAGTGCCCCACCTGCTCCTGCACACAAGCTGCGGCAATGGCTGCGTTCAGAAAACAAGCGATCAGTAAATGATCAATGATTATTGGTCTTTACTGTTAGATCCTTAAATGTAGACCAATTCCGTTGACGAAATATTCAACCACTGTACAACCGTTGTGTTTTCTGAACACAATCAATGTTACAGCGGCGGAAGTTCGCAAGATAGCCAATTAACGTGCCGCTTTTCCGTGAGAACTAGAAATTTATTGGCTAACGCACGAACCGCTGTCGTGCTACAAATGTTACCTCGTCACATTTGTTCTACATACATGAGCTGTAGGCTACGATTATACGGCAACGTTAATCCGGTTTAGTAATAATCGTAGTAAAGCTAGTGGCACATGATGCTTGTTTTCATGCTGGATTGCTTGCTGGATAAAAATATTACGTTTTGACTGGAGCATTTCCAAAAATAGATTATAATACACCAATCAAAACGCAGTATTTCCATCCAGCAAGCAATCTAGCACGAAAATAAACATCGTATGGCGCTGGCTTTAATGAACTCTCACATTTGATTAGTATATCTTTTTAGACCTAAAAATATATTCCAATTAAATACAAGAGTTCGCTACGGTAACTACTAAATCGGATTAACGTTCTCATGTAAACAAAGTCGTAAAGGCCTTCATACATGGATTACCATAAGCAGTAAAGACATAAAAGAATAAATATAAAGGTATTAAATTAAATAAGTAATATGGGCGGAATCCCATAGTCCACATCGGTGATTGGCTAATTTAATATAATATTTTCTAATTTTCTAATTGGTAGTCCAACAGAAAAACCGTCTGATTGGCTAGCTAATGCGTTTTCGATTTGCTGACTTGGCCCGACTCGGACAGCGTTCTGATAGTCTTTAAACCCGTACCAGATTACGGATTAGAAATTGAGATTAAATTGAAATTCGACCAATCAGTGCAAAGTTCACTAAATTTCACTAAATTTGAATTCAGTTAACTTTACAGTATTGCAACCTATAGTTCAAGTAATGTATATTATAGTTTACAATACTGTAGCGATTAATGGGACGCCGGAGTCGGGTTGAGTCAACAAATCGAAAACGCTATATATCACGCGATTCAGCGCTATATTGTTCTCACCTGTGTATGAATTATTATTCCAGCTTTAGCATGCATTCAAACCACTCCGAAATGGGAACAAAAATGCCTACCATCAACGGTTTTCTCATTTCTACTAATTTATTTATTATTACTTTAGAGTAACACCAAATATCTTAACATCTCTCAAGATGATTCATCGTCAACAAACGAACATTATACTGCTACGCAATGCAGAGGTTATTTTGTAACATACAATATGTAAGTTATTGCATTTTTACTCTTTCATAAATGTGAATTATATAGGATAGTAATAATAATTACGTACATATAATTTTTTGTGCTTTTCTTGTTTCCTCTATCTCTATCCTATATCCCAGCACATATTTGGATGCATGTTCACAACTGGGATATACGTCTTAAAAACTACTTATGTTATAACGTCTTAAATAGGTCTTACAGTCGTCTGATATCCCGCTTTTAAACATTGAGATGAAATGTCTGAGATGTCTGAGCTGTCTGAGATTGTCAATAACTTATTAATATTGTCACGTTTCGTATACTGTTTTATATTTTCATTACTTCATTCTAGCAATATAATGACATTAAAAGCAAAAAATAAATCTACATTAATATATACAGTTCTATATTCCACACAATCATATATAGGATTTCTCTGAATTTTACAACTACTTTATGCGAAACATTACCTCTCTTGATGTCGTTCAAATTCAGCGCCCATACAACCCACAACATGTCGGACAGTCATGTGATCGTTGATCACTGACATCGAAGAAGCTGACAGCAACTGTATGTAGTTGAACTGTGGTTCAATGGTGTAGCTTTAACCATAAATTTACTTATCGACTTCGTGTGTCAGTCTTGCGGAAATAGCCGAGCGGCCCGGATGTGCTTTGTGCGTGTATTTATGGAGAATTTATTCATCGCTGAACTGCATATGTTTTTGTTAAGTCGTTCCATCTCGGAGGAACGCGTGTAAACTTGTTTTGTCATAACTAATCCTAACTACTAGCGATGAAGACGAGCCTTTGAACTGTCCGCAGTCATAATTAAGAAGAAGGCTTCGTGTGTTGTTACCTGTTCAACGTGTTTCTAGACTGTTAAACAATTGGCTTTTGACAAATCCTGCACGAGAAGAAATCTTTCGTGAAATAAATTGATAATTCAAATTAACTTTATATAAAATATTTCTAAATTTAAATATTTCTAAATTTAAAAATTTTTTATCTGAAATTTACTCAAATAGTATGAGATATCTTAAATTTATCACAAATGTACCGCATGAGGATGCCCTTGGGAGTGTTCCAGCACGTTCTGGGCACATTCAAGATAATTTCAGGATATTTGGTATTACCTAAGTAAAAATTTTAGATTTTATTTTACAATAATTTAGAAGAATGAATAATTGTATATGTTCCAAAAGTTAATGGAATCATCTAATTCTTTATATCTCAGCATTCATTTTATAATCAATTATTCTATTAATAATTCTTATGGTAAATATTGCATTTAACGGAGCAACAAGATACAATTGTGCTCTTGACATATATTATCAAGCTTATCACCTTGAATAACATTCAAAAGATTTTAGCCATTACTCATTATTCATTAAAAAATCATCAACAAAAGTTGTTAGAAATCCTATGAAAATTATTGAGAGCTATTATCTTGACAATATATGTCAAGGATTGTCCTCAAAGATGAGAAAAAATAACAAGTAACTTTATATAATTATAGTTTTGTCATATAAACATAACATATATATTTTGCTGGTGAAATTAAAACTTTTCGTCTTATTAAAGTATGTGTGATAAGTCTATCTTATATTAAAATTAAAACATTAAAGATTAACATTGACCCCTATGCAAAGTATATCTGCTAAATAGAAACAAAAAAATACAAAATATAATGGAGTAATTATAAATTCAGATAACAATATTTTAAATAAATAAATTTTAAGTTAATACCTTCCTAGAGGCCTTTGCTAATTTTCATTATTTTCATTTTAGTATAAAATAGATTCATCAAATACACTTCAGTAAGATGAAAAATTTCAGTTATACAAGCCAAAATGCACCTAATGTGTATATATATTTTATGTATAATAATAAAA